CCGCGGGAGGGGATTTCGTGTCACTGAATTTCCAGGGACGGCTCCCGCGGCGCCGCGGGGGAGCAGAAGCCCGGGTCGGACGCGTCAGGGCCTACCTGGGCGGGCGCGGCCCCCGGCGGCCGGGAGAGCCGCGGGCGCCGGCTCTGGGGGCGCCAAGCAGGGCGGGGAGACGCCGCGTCCCGGGCGCCGCCGGCGTCGGGGCCAGGCCCGGGCTCGGCGCGCGGCTCGGCGCGGGGAGCAGCCGGGCCCGCGCGACGCGAGAGCAGCCCGGCCCGAGGGCGCGGCCCGCGCGGCTCCACCCCGGGCTCCGCCGCGGCCGCCGGGCCCCCCCCTCCACCCCGCGTGTCCCCGGCCCGGACCCCGCCTCTGGCCCGACCGAGGCTCCCCGTCCTCCCGCTCCCCCGACTTCCCGGCCCACCCCCAGACAAGCAACTTGGGGCGACACGGCCCACGGGGGCTCCCGCGGGGGCGCATTCGGTCCCTGCCGTCGGGGCTCAGAGCGGACGCCCCGCCCGCGGGGGCCTGGACGGGGAGGACGGCAGAGGGGCGCGGGCGCGGCCCTCAGCGGGGGTCGCGTGGACAGACGCGCACGGGGGGGGCGGGGGCGGCGAGCGTCTGAGGTAAGGAAAGGGCGGCGCCCCGACCGCGTGCGACCCCACCTGCGGCTGCGCCTCCTCCTCCCGCGGCGGCGCGCCGGGCCGGGCTCCCGGCCTCCATAGGGCCGCCCCTCGCGCGCGTCCTCAGCGTCAGCGGCGCCCGCACCCGAGCCCGCCCGGGGCGTGGAAGGATCTGGAAACGCAGAAGGACACCCTGACTGACCCTGTAACCTGAGCGCCCCTTTGGAGACAGAAGGTGGTTTTCTCGGGTCCACAAACTCTGCTGCCATTGCGGGTGTGGTCGCCCCATCTGACCCTACAGAGTCGGGGTCCGCAGGCCTGCTCCCCAGGGCCCACAGCCTGCGCTCGGCTCTCATTCATCCCGGCCTCCAGCCTCGGCTTAGACGCCTCTGAGCCCGAATCCGGCCCGTTGGGGCTTGGTTCGAACTAGTGCGGGACCCAGGGCTCGGGACTCCCCAGCTCATGCAGAACCCCTGCAGGTTGAAGGGCCAGCCAGGACCAGACCTCTCCTGGGAGCTTCCTGTAAAGCCAACATGGCCCCCAGACCCAAGCGCAGCAGGGGGGGGGCACCCCGGAGAGAGTGTAAGGTACCCCTCTCCCTCCCCTTCTGTCTCAGCACAACCAATGTGGGTCCCCAGGGAAGACCACTTTTGGTGCCCCAGGGTCGGGGGCTTTGCCGGCACTTTCCAGGGTGCACAGGCTAGGGGGTCAAGGCCAAGTCTCGGTGCAGAACCAGGGAACCCGCACAAGGGGAGTCCATGGGTACCTGCTCTGTGTTAGCAAGGGCCTGGACTGGGGCTGGGGCCCACATAGATGGGGTGGCCCTCAGCTGGGAGGGGACCCGGGCTGGCCCTCCTAACCCAGAGCATGTGGAGGGGCCTCCCCAAGCTTCTTATTTCCCCTGCATTGATTTAGAAAAATATGTTTGCAAACAACAGGCAGGAATCCTAGCAGACGGAGGAGTCAGGAAGGAAGGCCCACGAGAACTTTCCAGAGTTTCCATTGCTGTGTGTTCATTTACTTTTGGACAGGATAGTCATTGGCAAGTTCAAAAGTAAAAGCCCACAGTTTTCTTCACTGGAGGTACTTTTTACATTTCCATTAGCAACATGATTACTTTCATTTCTCCACATTCTCACTGAAGTTTTGTTACCAGTCTTCCATTTCCAAATGACAGTACTATGGTATGGGGTTTTTATGTGATATAATCATATGTACCACATTGCTGTCTAGATGAAAAATGAATATCCAGGGCCTCCCCGGCGGCGCAGCGGTTGAGCGCTGGGTTGCGAAGCTGTCCGCAGCCTCTGCAGTGCCGGTTCGATCCCCGGCTGCTCACCGGGCGAGGGTCCCACATGGCGCGCAGACCTCTCCTGCCGCCTGCTGCTCCCCTCAGCAGTGTACTTCGGTCCTTCTGCCTGCTCTGCTCCCCGCTCTGGCTCTGGTGAATTCTCTCACCCTCCCGTGCTTCTGACTGTACCCAGTGCTTGTATAAATAAATAAATAAATCTTTCAAAAAAAAAAAAAAGAATATCCGTAGTCCACACAAATCGCCAAAAATTACCTTGGAAGTAGTTCAGGTGAAATAAAGTCTAGAACCATCCTCAGTCTCCACAGGCTCAGCTGGCCCCTCAAGAGCCAGCTTCCTTCTAGTGGGCTTTGGTGCTGGCATTTTTCTGCCTGGAGGGAAGGTTTTTGAGACATTAGCACCCAGTCTCCCCATGATTCTTCCCTAAATAGACTGCCCCTTAGAATGAAGTGTAAAGTATTCCCCCAGTTCCTTCCTACCACCAGCACTCTGGGCTGAGTGAAATGTTCTAACCGCTGACTTTCGCGTGGGAGGGAGGGTCTGTGATGCTGTTGCCTTGCTATCTTTTCACCCATAGCAGCTATGACAGCGATGACCTTCTTGGGGAGCTGAGAATAGTTTTTGAAAAGCGCCGCCCCAGGTGCCAGAAATCACAAATAGCCAGCGAACATCTAGAAAGAGCTCTTAGGAGACGCTGTGACTCTACCTGGTTACTGGGGAAGAACCGGTTCCAAGGGAGAGACCTGGAAACCCTGGGGCAGACCCGTGAGGGCAGGGAAGGAGCCAGACCACAGTCATCAGAAGCACGATCCCAAGTGGACTGTCCCACCTTCTGTACAGCCCTGTAAGGCTCAGCAGGTCCACTAGGAGCTCTTGAGCCTCAGTCAGCTACCAAAACCTTAAAGCAAAGGAAAGGGAAAGGATTATTAGACAAACAGGGTGCACATACACAACAGATACATTAGGAAGCTGGGTATTACCAAATACCGATTTTTTCTAGTCTCAGCTCAAGAAGCCAAAGTTCAGTAACAGAGGGAACATGCCTCCAATAATCAATAGTGGAAATCACTGGGCTAATTTGCAAAACCCAATTACCAATCCTAAAATATGTCTGACTTGGCATGTTGTGCACATCATACAACTTAGAAGTCACAAAATAAAGATGAAGTGGCTTTCCCTGTGTTCCAGTGAGGCTTCAGGAGTTAGACATGACCCAGGGAGTGAAGACGTCGCATTCTGCCTGCTCTTACTTCTCCACTGCAAACTCTGGCTCCCCGCTTTGCTTTTCCTCCCCTGCTGCTCCATTGAAACCCCAGATCTTGCCCTCTCCTACCTGTGACATATGTATTAATACTGTAGAGACCCTGAGTGATCGAAATATTATATATATCAATATTGCAATGTCCTTGACTGAAGGAAAATTTGGAGCAACTGCAACAGATCATTTATCAAGCATTTGTTTACCAAGCTATTCACAAACAGCTGTGAGAAATGCAAGGCTAAAAACCTGGCTGTTGGGGCCACACCTACATCAAAATTAACAGGCGCCCTGATAAGATGCCTTTACAAGGTAGTAAAAATGTAGGCACCAAATTTGAGGTGCTTAAGGACTACAGGCCTGTGGCCCCAAAGCCTTCCCCAGGGACTCTTACCCTGAGAAGTGGCTCCACACTTCTTCTCTTCTCCCTTCTCCCCCTGCCCCGTCTCCCTTGTCTTCCTACTCCTCCCGGAGATTCTTGGAGCTCTCAGGACCAGTTCTCACCCAATGCATGACCAGTCTCCCAAACTGCCAGGAGGTTCATTACTTTCCCCACTTTTGCTTCCAACTGAATTGTATGTCTATACTGTCATAATGAGAGAACCCTCCCCATAGATTCATTTTCTGATTGTATGCATTTGGCTCAAATTCTGAATGAAACTTTCCCATTTTTCTGAAGTTAGAACTCTAGAGATCCCAAATCTGATCAAACGACATGTCCCCACCTCTGCTCATCACAGTGACCCTCCCCAAGACTTACCATTTTTCCAGAACAAGGATTTCCTTTCTGATCTCTTCTTGCCCTCTGGACGGAGTATAGGTGGCACATGATGACTTCACGGGCCCTCCTGGGTTCTTGCACTGCAGGGGCCCATGCTGCATTCCTAAGTTCTCAGAGACCTCCGACTTTGAGGGGTTACTTCCTCCATGCTGCCTTTATCTGGAAACCATAAAGTATAAACATCAGATCTGAAGACACTGGCTGAAATGCGAGTCCAACATAGTCCTCTGTTGAAGGGAGCAAGTCCTTGGTAATGAGTGATTACATAAGAGAATTTGTTTTGCCTCTATTAGTTTCAGATTAATTCAACCATTATGTTTGGGAGTGTGTGTGTGTGACTGAGAGAGAGAGAGAAAGAGAGAATATCTCTGTTTTCAGATTTGCTAACTACACATTTCTGCCCAAATTTTAATTTTTTTAGGTACACATATAATTTTGTTTTAATTTTAATTTCCCAAACATCCTATAATTGAGACTTTTGTGGACAGGAACTAGACTTTTGCTAGAGATGTGGCATATGTAGACGTTGAAATATAATGCTGTACGCCTGAAATCTAGATAACATTATAAGCCAATATTTCAATATTTTTTTAAAGAGAAAAAGCATTGCGTTTCTTTTTATTTTTAAAAATTGTGTTATTTTTAATGAGGTAACGGTTTACATTCCATGATTCTGAACTACATTTCCCAGGAGTCTGTGGCGCAGTCCTTGGCAGCGGCCCGAATTTAATGCTAAGAGAAATCTGAACAGCCGGCAGGGTTCCCAGCATTTGCAGACTAGTCTCTACGACCCCGAAACGTGCTTTCTCCCAATCCGGGCGCATCTTCTTTGGGGCCCGGAGAAGACGCCTTGCGAAGGCCACGCTCCTTGTTCTGAGGCGTCCCGCCGTGTAAACTACATCTCCCAGCGGCCTCTGCGGCGCCGCTCGCCGAGGGCCAAGGAGCGCTGCCTCTGGGGAAGCAACGGCGCGCGTCAGGCTCCGGCGCGGCCCCAGGTCTCTGAACTACATTTCCCAGAGGCCTCCGCAGCCCCGCCCCCCACGAGCGCCCCGAAGTGCCTGCGGGCAGACGCGCTGCCAACGCTCGCGTTTTCTAGGTTCTGCTTCCCCGCGACGTCCCGGCGCCCGGTAGGTGGCTGGGTGCCCGCGGTGAGCTGGTCGCGTCCCCGGGGGGACCCGGGGCGGGGTGCGGCGGGGGGAGGCGAGCGGGGCGGGTGCCTGGGGCGCGGAGGCCCGGGAAGGAGCCGAGGCCTGTGGCCGCGGAGCGGCTGGAAGCGAGGGGGAGGAAGGGCGCTCGGACCTCGCGGGGCGCCGGGGGCCGTGGCGCCCCTGTGGGCGCCCGCGTGAATGGCGCGGCCGGGCCGCGGCCCGGGGCTGAGGCGCGCGTGAGCGCGTCATCGGGGGGGTGACGCCCTCGCTCGTGCGCGCGCCGCTCGGCCAGACCGCGTCCCGCTGGCACGCGAGCGCGCGCACGGCTGCGGGGGCGCGCGAGGCGTCTCGGCGCGGCGCCCTGTGAGTTACCCGCGCGGCGCGGCGAGCGGGCGGGGGGCGGCCCGGGTTGGGACTCGCCGCCGCTGCGCTCTGCCTGCCCAGGGCTGCGGAGCTGGCGCTGTCTCTGGCCAGGGTGCCGCTGGGTGGGGCCGGGGCCGCGCGTGTCTGAGCGGGCGCTGGCGGCGCTGACTGGTGCGGGGCCGCGACGGGCCGCCGGGCCGCCTGCGGGCCGGGGTGTGCGCGGGTGTCTCCTGCGGCGCCGGTGCCCGCTGCGTCTCTGCCTTCCCCTCCAACTCGCCGGCGCCTGGCTTCACGCAGGGGCTGCAGAGCCCGGACCCTGTCATGAAAATTACCAGCAAGACAGCACAGATATAATCTTAAAAATGGCAATTTTAGAGCTAAAATTGCTTTCCGTACAGGTTACCTGACTGACAGGACGGGAGAGCCTTAAGATTACTTTTTTGAAGAAGACAGGTTCCTGATTTAGAAGGTGGGGTAGAGAAAAGCTACCTATTTCAGAACCCCATTACTAAAGTCACTAATAATTAGATCCCAGTGCTGTCTGTTTTCCGTATGGTTTTTAGATGTGACTTGGGGACAGGTGTGGCCTTGGAGGGTGTTTTCTGATGTAAACTGTGCTTCAGAACAGCCCTAGAGTCTCACTCTGTCTTCTCCCCCCCAGGCCAGCTGTCCTCCAGAAAAAGCATCCGTAGAAGGAAGAATTATTATGCTTCTTAAAATCAATGCAAAGGAAAAAAAAAAAAAAAGAAAATCAATCCCCTAAGTAGCTCATAAAGAAACTGGAAATTACCTGTAAATGCACCATCCAAAGACAAATTACTATTGAAATTTGGTATGTATGTGTCCACTCTCCCCCTTTCCTCAGCCTGTGTGTATGGTTTTGGTTTCAAAGCATTAAATCCGAATAGTGCAAATGAGCCAAAGACTCTTCAGATCTTAGTTTACAGAGGGAACTAATTTCGCCACTATAACCATGTGCTTGTGCAAGGGGAGAGGCTCTCCAGGATTCATCTTGCTTTGAGAAAATCTCACTGCTAGGGTTAAGCTACATCATTTGAAACTAATCCCATGACAACAAATAATTAAGGAGTACAGCCTTTCAGAGTTATATTGTTGAGGATTCTGGTATTTCTCTCACAGGACATGACAGTGATCACTGGCATATTACAAGCGTGGACTGTAAAATAATATTTCCAAGGACAGATCTATAAAACAAGCATGAGGTGGCAACACTTACAAATGTTCTATTAAGTCTCCCCCATCACACTGAAGAGATTCAGTCTCTTGCTAATGTTCTTTTTTCTAAAAAAAAAAAAGATTTATTTATTTATACAAGAACCGGGGTACAGACCAGATGCACGGAGGGTGAGAGGATTCACCAGAGACAGAGGGGAGCAGAACAGGCAGACTGACAAAATACACTGCTGAGGGGAGCAGCGGGCGAGACTGGAGAGGTCTACCACGCCATATGGGGCCCTCGCTGGCCAGCGGGGATAGAATCTGCGCTGCAGAGGCTGTGGATAGCTTCATAGCATTGTTCTCAACCACCTGCACCACCAGGGGAGCCCCCCCTTTTTTTAAGATTTATTTATACTAGAACTGGGGTACAGGCCAGAAGTGCGGAAGGGTGAGGTAGATGGACTGAAAACACTGCTGAGGGGAGCAGCAGGCAAGACAGGAGAGGTCTCTTGCTAATGTTCTTTTTTTTTTTTTTTTTTTAAAAGATTTATTTATTTAAGCACTGGGTACAGTCAGAAGCGCGGGAGGGTGAGAGAATTCACCAGAGCCAGAGCAGGGAGCAGAGCAGGCAGAAGGACAAAAGTACACTGCTGAGGGGAGCAGCAGGCAGCAGGAGAGGTCTGCATGCCATGTGGGACCCCCCCACCCTCCAGTGGCTGGGGAGCAGCCGGGGATCGAACCGGTGCTGCAGAGGCTGCGGGCAGCTTCGCAACCCAGCGCTCAACCGCTGTGCCACCGGGGAGGCCCTCTTGCTAATGTTCTTAATTTGACTCTTCTTAGTTTGTTCTTAGATCTGGAATTTTATTATAGAATCTTGTCTGTCCCTTTTGTTGCTGGTGGGGAACGAGCATTTCCTCCTTAGAATCTTTTTTTGCTAGTATTTTTTTTTAAGATTTATTTTATTTATTTATGCATACAATAACTGGGATATAGGCCAGAGGTGCAGGGGTGAGAGGATTAACCAGAGACAGCGTGGGGAGCAGAACAGTCAGATCTATTGAAATACACTGCTGAGGGGAGCAGTGGGGAGACAGGAGAGGTCTGCTCCACCATATGGGTCAGCTCCCTGGCCAGGGATTGAATTCATGCCGCAGTGGCTGGCAATAGCTTGATAGTGCTGATACTTAACTCCTTGCGCCACCAGGGAGGCCCATTTTTTTTTTTTTGCTAGTATTGTTATTGGAAATGAACTTTATTTTTATGAGGCTCTGGAAGTTTTCAGTGTTACCTAGACAGCAGGTTTCAGACACACCTATTTAACATAAGAAAAAGGAAAGAGTGCAGTTTCTTCTATTAAAATGGATTAAAAGATGTGTGACACTGTTGATCTTGAATAACTACTTAAATTACTGTTGCATATTACTGTGTTTTATGTAGGTCAGCTACTCCACAGTTAAGACAGTCAAACCTGGTAGGTGTTTTTATCCTGTCTTACCAGTGGGGAGCCAGCCTCTGTCACGTAAGCAGCTGTCAGCGCACGTTCACATTTGAAACTCATCCCACAGAGCCTGTGCCCCTCTCTTGCCTTTTAAACCTCCCTTCTTCACGTGGGGATTCATCTTAAAGTCCTTTCTCAATATAAATCAGTACCTTTGTTTTTAAAGATTTATTTATTTATACAAGATCAGAGGCACGCGAGGGTGAAAGAATTCACCAGAGAGAGCAGGCAGAAGAACAGGTAGATGGACGGACACTGCTGAGGGGAGCAGCGGACGAGACAGAGAGGTCTGCCATGCCATTTGGGTTTCTCCCTGTCCGGACAGCAATCGAACTCGTGTTACAGAGGCTGCAGACAGCGTTACAGCGCAGCGCTCAATCCACTGCGCCACCGGGGAGGCCCCTATAAATCAGTATCGTTAATACATATATTGTAGGGCCTCCCTGGTGGTGCATGGGGTTAAGACCAGCACTGTGAAACTATCCACAGCCACTGCAGCACGAGTTCCATCCCCGGCCAGGGAGCTGACCCACATGGTGCAGCAGACCTCTCCTGACTCGCCTGCTGCTCCTGTCAGCAGTGTATTTCAGATCTGCCTGCTCTGTTCTCTACTCTGTCTCTGCTGAATCCTCTCACTCCCCACACCTCTGGCCTGCACCCCAGTTCTTGTATGCATAAATAAATCTTTAAAAAAAAAATGGCCTCACACAAGCCACTCACTACTTAATCTGTCTTCTACCACAAGACATTGATGTTTTTCATGGTTCACTCTTTAAAATGAGTTTCTGGAATGTCTGAATAAAATTGATGCATTGGTTCAGTCTCCCTCTTGATTGTAAAGTTATACTCTAGTGTGGTAAGCTGGGTTAAGAATACACAGGATTCGTCTATATTTCTTATAACTGCATGTGAATCAACAATTATCTCAATTTTTAAAAAAGATACCCCATAAAAAATCCCTGAACATTCTTATGCATATATTTATGTACTACTATAGCTGTTTCTCTGGGGGGCATTTCACAAGCACAATTTTTGTTAAGTGGCTACCATATGCTTGACCCTGGAATTACAGAATGACTGAAGGGACACTGCATTGCTTATAGCCCAGCAGGGAAGGGAAGCTGAACAGAAGTGTAAGGCAGCCTGTGGTCAACACCCAAAAGGTTCCAGTCAGTGTGTCCTGAGAGGGGCTGGGGAGGGTCCTCATTCTCACGTTAGTAAGTCTAAACACAGGCTCTCTGTGGAAATAAATGGAATTTGTTTTCTAAATTTTATACTTTCCTTTTTTTTTAAATGTTTGCTGCAAAGTGAAAACTGCTAGTGTTGCAGAGCAACCCCGATATAAAACAGGTTGCCTGACTGTGGGTCCTCACCCACACACTTAAAGGGGACTTTAAGCGCTAAACTTTGAATGCTAAACTGCAGACACACAAAAAAGGTTGATAAAAGATGTATTTACAAGGTAACGGGAAATGGGAAAATGAGTAACTCAGGGAGAAAAAGAGGGAGACAAGTTCGTAAATGCGTCCTACCCGTTCCGCTGACCTGGAATCCCAATGACCCCCCAAGCAAAAACAAAAAAATGAGCACTCCGTGTGGCTAAGAGGGCGACCCCTGGCCACATGGCCAGTTAAATACGCAAACCAAGAGCCTAGTTGCTTAACTCTGCCCAGGTCCTCACAGCCTTCCCTTGGTGATCATGGCATTTGTAGTTCCAGTGTCTTGATGGAGTGGGGGTGGAGTCCACAAAGCCCGTATGGAGTTTGCTCAGGACATCCTTTCCCCCTATCACTCGCATAAGATGAGTCAGGTAGGACATCATGACTCAAAGCAAAAGTTCAGAAGTAAAATCACCCTCCCATCAGGACATAAAACTGAGCAACAGTTTTAAGCTCGGTATCTATTGAACTTCTATGCAATCTTAGAATTTTTTATAGAATCTTAGCCATTTTTTTTTTCCAGCCAGTTCTCCAACTCTATCAAAGAGTTGGCTTCGGTGTTAGAAGTGAAAAGAGAGAAACATTATTCAAAAAAAAAAAAATTCCAAAGATAATATATTCTGAGCTTTTTCTGCAAGTTCAAGAGTAGACTTTTTAAAAAGAAAATTTAAGTCTGCCTCTTAATAAGTTTGAAAGGAATAGATACACCCACATATTTTTTTCTTGTTACATTTTAAAAGGACAGGTTTCTTAGGAAAAGGCAGGGAGAAGATGATGCTTGCACAGACAAGGGCAGAAGGAGCTGCCAGACATTTTCTTATCTGTATCTGTCAACCTGATGCTGCCTGTTACACATATGTAATTAAGCAAAGAAAACCAAGGCCAGGTCTGGAGTCTGCTTCAGTCACTCTCTACACACACTCAGGTCATCACCCTCTAGGCCTGCTGTGGCTAAGGCAGCCTCCCACTGACAGATCACACAGCAAAGTCAATGACAGGCAGGCTCATGGGCCAGCATCTGGGGAGCCCAGGCACAGGCTTCCCAGAGCTCTCTCCTGGGTGGACCCACAATCCCCACAGCAGCCATGGTGGCTGCGTGGAGGACATGTGTCTAACAGGGATGCTCCCCAAGCCAAGGGCCCAGGGTTTCTGTAAGCCCAGTCTTGCACACACCAAAACCATGGATTCCCAGAGGAAGCAAGTGCTCAGCACAAACCACACCATTAAAAGTTCCAGAACTGTGAGCTGTGCTTCTCAGCTGAGGGACAGTTGGGACACTCAGGAGTCCAGCCGAGGCCTGTCTGGCAAGCCGTCCTCAGGACAGCAGTTTCAAACCTGCCCTGCTAACGCCTGCACGAGGGGTCTTTATGTCTATTTCTATTATTTCTTTCAATCATTGTCTTGTGGTTGGTTTCTCTCTCTCTGTGTGAGTACCCTGTATGTATGCACATAAAAGCATGTGTGCATTTTCTATACTACAAATTGCATAAGAATTTTATAAATGTGTTATTGTGTCCTGGTTCGGTAGCCTGATTTTTTTCAACAGGTCTGAACTATTTTTTTCCTAACTTGAAGTATCTCTTCCAGCTTAGTATTCAGTGACCACTTAATGCTTTATCACCGATATGCCACGTGCTGTGGGCTTGGTGCTGACTGCTGCCCCCACAGATCCTCCTCCGCCCTGTCTCAACCTACATGGCCTGACCTCGAGGCCACCAGGTCTGTTTGGCAGGGGCAGACGCTCCCCTGGATGGGGTGGCTGGAGGGAGCATGAGGTGCTCCGGGCACACTAAACGCCCTGAGCGCCCAGTTCAGGTCCAAGTCGCAGTTCTGACACCAACTGCAAAACTCAGATGTGTCTCAAAACCACCCTCAGGTTTAAGAGGAAGGACCCACAGGCCCTGCAGAGCACTGTCCTGCCAGGTCATGATTTATGACAGGAGGACCTGACAGGAAAACAGTACGGAAGGGGAAGGCCACAGCCCGCTCCAGGGAGGGCAGACCCAGCACTGCGCCAGCTGCGATGCTGGGGTCGGCCCCCAGGCAGGCACAACTGAGCTTCCCTATGCAGCATTCCCTGGGGCTTTATGTGAGCTTGGCTGGCTCACTGCAGCGGATTACCCAGTCTCCAGGTCAGCTGTACCCCTGGAATCACCTGGGGGTGGCCAGCCCCTGCACCAAAGAAGACATTCGGATTAGGTGATGCAGATTGCTCTCGGAGGCCACAGGCAAAGGTTAGACCTCTGGTCAACGCCAAATTCTTCACTATGTATACCCCAACAGGGAGCTGGCTGGAAATCTAAAATGTCAAGGCAAAAAAAAAAAAAGAAAGCTCCTCCAATTAGCTCTGTACAATTAGGTTTCCTGGGGCTTCAGGGTGATCTTGTTTACTTTCCCCCCATAAACCTCTTAATTTTCCTCAGATGGGTCTCATTTATATGTGGGTGTTGTAGGGAGGGGAGCCTGAGGTTCTATGGCGGTAAAGGTGGAGGAGGGAAAACGCTGTATTTTGGGAGCCCAGGGTCGCTTACTTTTTTTTTTTTTAAAGATTTATTTATATAAGAACTGGGGTACAGGCCAGAGGCACAGGAGGGTGAGAGGATTCACCAGAGACAGAGCAAGAATAGGCAGACTGACTGAAATACACTGCTGAGGGGAGCAGCGGGGAGACAGGAGAGGTCTACCACGCCATGTAGGTATCTCCGCGGCCGGCCGGGCTCAAACCCATGCTGCAGAGGCTGTGGACAGCTTCACAGCGCGGCGCTCAACCTGCTGCACCACTGGGGAGGCCCTAGGGTAGCTTACTTTAATGCAGGCTTTTCTTCCCAGCTCTGGGTCCTCTGGATTTTGTCTCTTCGGTGAAGGGGACCCCAAGAACCCTGATCAGTTCTTGATTGGGAAACTATGGCCCACGTAAGTATAAATTTCTCTTTTCATGAAATGTACTATTATATGTAGATCCTGTTGGCTTTTTTTTTTTTTTTTCTTGTACATTTTCAAAGGACAGGCTTATTAGGAAAAAAAAAAAAAGAGGACCCACAAGAGGGCAGAAAGAGCCGCCACCGCTTTGTAAAGGGAGAGGTCTGTGAGGAGAACGCCTGCACAGTGACAGGCAGGCAGTGGCTCTGCCTGTGGCCTGTTTTAAAAGTGAATTTTCCTGAAGTCTGCTGTCCAGTGAGGCTAGCCCCCTCCTTCCAGGGTGTCCTGTTCCACCCTGTGCCCACTTTGCGGCTGACAGGGTTACTGAACCACTGAGCTAACTATTCAGTGTCTCCCGTGTGCTTGCTTTATCATCAACAGTAATGCTGGGGCAGTGCCGGAAGACGGTCCCTTGAGAGGCGAGCATGTCACATCTCTGGCCTGAGGAGTTAGCCATGGCAGTCCCATTTGCCCATAGGAGGAAACCAGAAGTCTCTACTTATCTTTTTTCTAGGCAGATACAAGGGAATCTCCATACTTGCGAGGCTCTGTGTTAGTGTGTGGCGAGAACACACGCTTCTTGAGGACTAGAGAAAATGGTCATCAAGGCCGGTGCACTCAGATCACGTCCTTAGCAGGGAGCATGAGAGAAATTTTGTGGTTGACCAGACCTCTGTGTGCTTCTAAATCATTTGATTAACAAGTGATTTTGATTTTGTAAGTCAGGGAAGAGTATCCCATATAGAAGTAACAGATGCTCATATACTCCTGGAGCCAGGAAAGACCTTCCATGCTCTGTTCTTCCCACAAGTTTAACTATTATAATTCAGTCAAATCTAGAGATACGAGGAGACAAAAAATGCTTTTGTCATTACAGAGGAAGACAAAAGATAAATTGGCCAATGATGACCTTGATGAACCTGAGACCTGCAGATGCTTAAACATGCACACCCTATTTTCAAAGATGAAAGATCCTACATTACATTTAGGAAACAAAACCCTAGGAGTTTTCTGTTCCCTTAAAGGGAAAACGGGCACAGGAATCCACACTGGCACGCGGCAGACTGTCAGGGGAAGACAAATTGGCTTGTTTTATCCATTCTGACAGCACAGTAGTGGGTGCCACAGGGTGGGGCTCCTCGCAGCAGCCAGGCTTGGCAGTAACGGGAGCCTCGTGCTCCAGCCTCCACGCAGCCCCATTGCCCCCCGTCACAAGGTCAGTCCATGAGCCGCATCCACCCCAACCGAGTGTAACCCCCTCAGTTGTCCTTCACCTTGAATCTGTGTCTCTACGTTTCATCAGCGACATGTGGGTTTGTGTTCTCAGGGTCTGGTGACCTTCTCTGATGTGGCAATCGACTTCTCTCAGGAGGAGTGGGCATGTCTGGACTCTGCGCAGAGGGACCTGTACTGGGACGTGATGCTGGAGAACTACAGTAACTTGGTCTCACTGGGTGAGTTGCCTGCTTCAAACAACTCCCTGGAACGCAAGCTCCCTCCCCTTTCAAGACACCAGGTGAGGGCCTTCCTGGTGGCGCAGTGGGTTGAGCACAGCACTGTGAAGCTGTCCGCAGCCTCTGCAGTGTCTGATCCCTGCCAGCCATGGAGAAACCCACACGGCGTGGCAGACCTCTCCTGTCTCACCCACTGCTCCCCTCAGCAGTGTATTTCAGTCATTCTGTCTGTTCTGTTCTGCACTCTTGTCTCTGGTGAATCCTCTCACCCTCCCGCATCTCTGGCCTACACCCCGGTTCTTGTATAAAAAAAAAAAATCTTAAAAAAGAGCAAAAAAGGGCCTCCCCGGTGGCGCAGCGGTTGAGCGCTGGGTTGCAAAGCTGCCCGCAGCCTCTGCAGTGCTGGTTCGATCCCCAGCTGCTCCCGGCCACCGGAGGAGGGACCCACATGGCGCGCGGACCTCTCCTGCCGCCCGCTGCTCCCCTCAGCAGTGTGCTTCGGTCCTTCTGCCTGCTCTGCTCCCCGCTCTGGCTCTGGTGAATCCTCTCACCCTCCTGGGCTTCTGACTGTACCCAGTGCTTGTATACATAAATAAATAAATAAATCTTTAAAAAAAATAAGCTAGTATCATTTAAAAAAAAAAAGAGCAAAAAAGACACTGGTGAGTTTCTTCTTCTGTCTCCAAGGAGTGCTTTGTTGAGTTGGCAGTGGACTGGCCCTGCCTCCCTACTCTCATCCTTTGGCCTCGCCGGTAGCTTCAGCTTCCTTAATGACCAAAGGATGGGGCCTCCCCGGTGGTGCAGCGGTAGAGCGCTGGGTTGCGAAGCTGCCCGCGGCCTCTGCGGCGCTGGTCCAATCCCCGGCTGCTCCCCGGCCACCGGAGGAGGGTCCCACATGGCGCGCAGACCTCTCCTGCCGCCCGTTGCTCCCCTCAGCAGTGTACTTCGGTTCTTCTGCCTGCTCTGCTCCCTGCTCTGGTGAATTCTCTCACCCTCCTGCGCTTGACTGTACCCAGTGCATGTATAAACAAAACAAACAAACAAATAAATAAATAAATAAACATGCCTCTATTAAAAAAAAAAAAAATGACCAAAGGATGAATTCCAGTTCTGGAATACTTATTTCACGATCATCTTCAAAGAAACCAAGCTTCATTCTATGATTACATTTACACCCAAACTGCTGTTGACCTGTGTGACCTTAGAGATCCATTTTTAGGGAAAATGGCCCAAGAGTGACTTGATTTTTCTCTATTAAGTCAGCTCGTTATGCCAGGGTTCACTGAAGACAGAATCCATGCCAGCTCATCCCATTTCATGCTCATTCACCTAAAATGAAAGTGATGCTCATCAACTTTTAGCTTAGAATGTCACAATCATGAAAACATCTCAGGAAACTCATTAGTTTTCTTTAGCAAAATAGCAACAATATTATTAATCACTGAAACAGTGCTTCCTTTGTAGCAGGAATTGTTCTAAGCTCTCTGTGGATGTGGAAATACATTTCATTTCATTCTTCCAAGTTTGTGGGGTGGCCAGGTTAGGATGTCTAGTTTATAGATGAGTGTAGCAGGACATAGCAGGCGACAGCAATGAGAAGTGAACCTAGGAACTGTGGTCACAGAATCCATCCTCTCTCAACTACCACCTCCTGCTTGCCTCCAGGGAGCTTGCCTCCAAAAGTTTGTTTTTGTTTTATTTTTTTTATTTTTTTTTTTTTTATAGAGGCATGCTTTATTTATTTGTTTGCTGGTTTGTTTGTTTGTTTTGTTTATACATGCACTAGGCAAAGTCAGAAGCACGGGAGGGTGAGAGAATTCACCAGAGCCAGAGCAGAGAGCAGAGCAGGCAGAAGGACCGAAGCACACTGCTGAGGGGAGCAGCGGGCGGCAGGAGAGGTCTGCACGCCATGTGGGACCCTCCTCCGGTGGCCGGGGAGCAGCCGGGGATCGAACCGGCGCCGCAGAGGTCGCGCGCAGTTTCGCAACCCAGCGCTCAACCGCTGCGCCACCGGGGAGGCCCTGTTTTTGTTTTAAAGATTTGTTTTACTTATTTATGCATACAAGAGCTGGGGTGCAGGCCAGAGGTGCGGGAGGTAAGAGGATTCACCAGAGAGAGAGCAGGAAGGAGAACAGGCGGATCCACTGAAATCCACTGCTGAGGGGAGCAGCAGGAAGACAGGTCTGCTGCGCGCTGTGGGACAGCTCCCTGGTCGGACCGAACTCATGCTGCAGTGGCTGGTGATAGTGGTGAGACTTAACCCTTTGTACCACCAGGGAGGCCACGCCTTCAGAAGTTGAAAATAAGGCCTATTCCCTGCCTATTCTGACTCACCTTTTCATACTTTAATCCTTTCTCTTTTTGAAGTCTTGGCAATTTTGTCTTTTAGGTTGTTAGATATCTGAAACAAGCTCCATCAAAAAAATTTTCCTTCGCTGTCATGTGCCACTTCTTTTTTGAAAGCAGTTCCCTTCATTTCTAAGCCAGATGTGATTGTCTTGTGAGAGCAAAGGAAAGAACCTTGATAGTTGTGAGAGAAAAGACACAGTGCAGCGGAGAGCGAGAGCCAGCCACGCTCAGCACATCATCATCCCAGCAAGCAGCCGGCTGGCAAGGAGCAGGCATGTCCCTGAACCCCCGGGGAACACTCCCTACAAAGATCCAAGGCCTCTGGAGAAAAAATGACCACCTGGACTTCCTCTTTATCTCCTTTCCCTCTTGTTTTTCTTGTCATAGTTACTTACTCCCACTTCATGCGTTGCTGGTAATAAAGTCTAAGTTACAGTTTATTTCGTAGATGGCCATGGTGCAGGCTCAAGTATCAAGGGTGTAGATAACCTGAACTTTGCCCGCTGTGATTCCCAAATGTTGGAGGTGATCCTGGCTGCACATGCCTTTTTTTCTTTTATTTCTGGCTGCACTGCTTCTTGGGTGCTGCCATGTTCTCCCATCACGAGGCAGTGTCTGGTGATGTCTCTCTGCTGCTGGCAGTCATTGTCACTTAGTGCCTGGACTCACTGTTTTATTGGAGGCTCCAAATAGCCATTTTCCATCTTGCTTCTTGCTGTAGTATTTTTGAAAGAGAAAATGTGCCATCTGCTAATTGGTTCTGTAGTAGCATTGCTTATACTGGATAAAAAGCATTAAAATGTTGTATTCTTTGAAGAAAAAACTACTAGTCATATATTAGAGAAAAATTATAATACAGGGCTGCTTTCCTAACATGCTCCAAAATTGGTCATTTTCCATGTTTTAGTATCATTATGAATTCACACATTTAAACAGGTTTGATGTGCCGTCTCTTCAGCTGGCATTCTAACTAGTGTTCGGATTTTTTCTAAACATTTCCTCCTCATAGTTGTCTCACATGTCTTATAGAATTTAATCCTCCATGTTGTCTTTCTTACTGCTTGAGTGCTGGGTCTTTTATCCTGAGTTATTTTTAATTATGTTACTTTTATACATGTATAGACATATATTTCAGAACATTAATTTCAATGTAACTATCCAACTATGTATCTTTATTTTTATAGCAATTCTGTATTTGATTTCCCAGGTGTGTCATCACATTATCTTTTCTGTCTTCATTTCTGTTCTTTTCCATCTTCGTTTCTGTTCTTTTGCTGAATTGTGCCAGCTGATAGGACATAGCAGGGCCAGTACTGAGCCTCCTCTCTGGTGTGACATTAGCAGGAGCATCTCCATAATTTCCTCATCAGGCATCGCAGTGCTGGCGGTGGGATCTGCATTTGAATACGAGCCTGGGTGACACATATATATTCTACTAGAGTTTTGTTTCTACCAGAGAAGTTTTCAGTTCGTGGTTAGGTTTGGGTTTTCTTGTTTATTTTGTTTTCCTTAAGAGGAAACAAAAATGTTCATTTTCTTCCAGATTTGGAGTCCCCATATGAGACCAAGAATTTACCTACAGAAAAGGGCATCTGTGAAAGAAAATTTCCCAAATGGAACGCAAATGGAAAAAGGAAAGCCCCTGGCTTTGACTGGATGTGTGAAGGTGAGTTTGACGGCCCACAGGGCCCTCGAGAGGGCTATTTCAATCAAGTGATAATCAACTGTGGGAAAACGCCCACTTGCAGGGAAAGTCCATCTACAAGACCACATCAGAGACACAACAGGGAGAATTCCTATGAATGCAAGGAGTGTGGGAAGGCCTTCAGTCGCAGCTATCAGCTTACCCAACACCAGAAAATTCACACTGGTGAGAAACCCTATGAATGTAAAGAATGTAAAAAGGCCTTTCGTTGGGGTAATCAGCTTACTCAGCACCAGAAAATCCATACAGGTGAGAAACCTTATGAATGTAAGGACTGTGGGAAAGCCTTCCGGTGGGGCTCGAGCCTCGTTATTCATCGGAGAATCCACACGGGTGAGAAGCCCTATGAATGTAAAGACTGTGGAAAAGCCTTTAGACGTGGCGATGAACTCACTCAGCATCAGAGATTTCACACCGGCGAGAAAGACTATGAATGTAAAGACTGTGGGAAGACCTTTAGCCGTGTGTATAAATTAATTCAACACAAGCGAATCCATAGTGGTGAGAAGCCCTATGAATGTAAAGACTGTGGAAAGGCCTTCATTTGTGGCTCAAGCCTCGTTCAACATAAGAGAGTTCACACCGGTGAGAAGCCCTATGAATGTCAAGAATGTGGGAAGGCCTTCACTCGCGTCAATTATCTTACTCAACATCAGAAAATCCACACTGGTGAGAAGCCTCACGAATGTAAGGAATGCGGGAAGGCCTTTCGTTGGGGTTCGAGCCTCGTTAAACACGAGAGGATTCATACAGGCGAAAAGCCATATAAGTGTACAGAATGCGGGAAGGCTTTTAATTGTGGCTATCACCTTACTCAACATGAGAGAATTCACACTGGTGAGACGCCTTATAAATGTAAGGTATGTGGAAAGGCCTTTATTTATGGGTCGAGCCTTGTTAAGCATGAGAGAATTCACACGGGGGTGAAGCCCTATGAATGTAAAGAATGTGGAAAGGCCTTCAGCCATGGCCATCAGCTTACACAGCATCAGAAAATTCATATGGGTGAGAAACCTCTTGAATGTAAGGAAGGCGGAAAGGCCTGTGATCCTGTAAAGCCTCACAGAGACCATCAGAAAATGCATATGGCTGAAGCAACTTTTGAATGTGACAAAAAATCTGTGGAAGTCTCCATATAACAGAAAGAACAGTATGATATTATTTAACAGACAGAAGCCTTCACGGTCACTCTGGCTGATGGATATCAGAACAGTCAGGCTGCGGACAAACTTGGGAGACTGGAGAAATCACTTTTTTGTAGTGATCACATCGTACTTGGTGGAGACAAGTTTGTCACTGGACAGGTTAGTTTAATGAGTACACAGAAACCTTCCAGTGCCATTCAATCCCTGTCACATTTCAGATTCATTCTAGAGAATACTGTGCTAGTGTAATGCAACGTGGGAAAGCCTTTCATCATGGTACCTCCCCTACCTGTTACCATCAGCATCCCACCTCCTTACTCCTCATGAGACACTGGGACTGTCACCTACTCTCCTGTGCATTTGTGAAGTAGGATTACCACACCTACCTAAAACTGCTGTGGTGGTGATTGAGTCTGATACATGTAAACTCCTTGAAAGTGTATGTGGAATACTGTGTAAGTTCAATAAAGATCATTAGCTGTTGTTTTTATTATTACCATGAGTGCTGCTTTTAATGCATTATTACAAGACTCCCATAGGTGTAACGAGCTTAGAAAAGACTATCAGACTTCTAGAAGAAAGTGTAGATTACTGTCAGAATTTCTTAGTACACAGAAGACACAAACAAAATTAACAATTAAATAAAAATAATCAAAAGTACAAAGTTCTCTTCATCAAATGATACCATGGAAGTGGTAAAAAAGCAAGAAACAGACGGGGGAAAGATATTTACATAACCTGACACAGGATCCACATAGAAAATAAAGACAAGTCAGTTTTAAAACCAATTAAGGGGGGAAAAACAAGGGGGGCTTGAGCAAGCACTTCACAGGAGACTACCAGAAGGCCAGTAAGTAACTGAATTACATTCAACATCATTTCTCATCAAGGAAATGCAATGAGAAACCACTACAGGTCACTAGACACTAGCAAGGCTAATACTAAAACTGCATACAAACTGATTGTTGTTAGATGTTCAATATGTCCTGATCAGGGAGGAACTGGACTAGCACAATTGAACCTCTGCCCTGTCCTGGAAAGAAATGGACTGTCTTAAGGGAAAGTACTACAGCCAGTAACGGGTATCTGAGATTATGGGTGGGAGAGGACTAGGGCCCATGGCAGTGAACTTGAAAAGCTGGAGGAGGGACTAATAAGTGTGGTACATGTCAGGGGAAAGGGGAAAATAGACAGAGCTTAGGTCCTGGGAAGAAAAGGAGTCTGCAGGGTGCTTTTGAAACCAGAGGCTTTGAGTGCTCGCAGGAACAACCTGGGAGAGATCCAGGTAGGTGCTAAAGCCAACGGGAGACCCTGGACACAGGGTAAGGCTGTTTGGGGAAAGCCCAAAGGAGTGTCCAATAAAGGCTGTCAGAGGGTACCAAATTGGTTTTAAGTAGGACTTAACTTATTTACCTTGGTGGGGCTTACATTTCAATTAAAACGTCTTAGTTCTTATATTTGTACCTCAGAATTAGGATGAGGTTAGGGATTTGACCCCTCTGGGCAGAGGATGGAGAGAGTAAGAAGACATGCAGTGGAGGGTGCCAACCTACGTTTCAGAGCTGAGTCTTCAGAACCGGTTTCCTACAGCATTAGTAATCCTCCTAATAGGAGTTACTTCTTAGGGCCTCCCTGGTGGCACAGCAGGTTGAGCACAGCGCTGTGAAGCTGTCTGCAGCCTCTGCAGTGTGGGGTCGATCCCAGCCAACCAAGGAGCCACCCACATGTTGCAGCAGACCTCTCCTGTCCTACCTGCTGCTCCCCTTAGCAGTGCTTTCAGTCCGTCTGCCTGTTCTCCCCACTCTGTCTCTGGTGAATCCTCTCACCCTCCCACACCTCTGGCCTGTACCCCAGCTCTTGTATAAATAAATCTTTTTAAAAAAGTTACTTCTTAGCACCATCTTCTCCTGTGGCTCCTACGCCAATATTAGCAGAACAGTCCCAGGACCCCCTGCTACTTCAGACTGCAGGTGTGGGTGGGCACTGCCCCTCCAGGCTTTTCTGCATAACTGGAGATGAAGGGGCAGGGCAAGAACTAAGCAGGTGGTTACCAGGAAAAGTGGGAATGAGCAGTGAATGTTGATGAGTACAGGGTTACCTGTGAGTTGATGAGAATGGTCTGGAACCAGACAAAGGTGATGTTCACACAATGTGAATCTCCTAAGTACCACTAAGTTGTACTACACCTTACATATATCAAATAATCACTGTATCCCCTACAATTCACACCACACAAAATGTCAAGAACATGGTTTTATGTGACTGTTCACACAATTAAAAACATCTTTGTTCCCAATACAGAGGAAGATCTTGTCATTCTAACTCGTCATTTCTCACTAGAGGCAAAATCGCCTCCCACATGGCATTTGGTTATGACTAGAAACAGTCTGTCACTAGGGTGGTGGGTGCAGCCGGCGTCTACTGGGTAGAGACCAGGGATGATGCTCAGCGTCCTACAATGATTTAAAAAAAAACAACTGCAATGCCCACAGCAGCTGCCCACACAGTCGAATCCAACCAAGAATGTCACCAGAGCTACCAGTGCAAACAAGGGGCCCTGCCTCGTCTTCCATCTCTCCCACCACAGACCCTTTCTCTGTCTCCAATCCACGGTGGCCACCTCCAAACCACCCCCACCCTACTCCCTTCCACACCCCAAGTCCCCAGCCTGGCGCAGACCCCTGCCTCACTAGTGAGCAGTAGCACCAGGCCCAGGGCAAAAAACTCTGGGTACTTGGCCAGGGGGTGGGTTAACTGCAGAGAAAGGCTTCCCTCCAGGGCCCTGGAGATGTGGCTTCCAATCAGGTGGCCAAAGATGGCCGCACCTGCGGGCAAACAGGTATGTAACACGACTGCGCCTCCGGATATATTTTGGGGGAAAAGGACCCAAACCAGTTACCTAATCTCAAGAGTATTTTTTCTTGGGGTAAGGGGAGGACATAAATGATTTACAAAATAGGTAAAATAGCATGTTGGAAGGAGGTAGAAAAAAAAAAACCGTTTGAATGAAAAAAAAAAAAAAAGCACCCCCCCCCCCCCCAGGAAAAGCTGTCACAGGAAAGACGGCACGGAGGTGATTGGGAGGAGGGGACTGGGGGGTGGTATGAGGCCGGGGCTGCAGTGTGGCCAGCGTCCTGCGGGGCGGGCGCCCCCAGGCCCCAGGCGCTGCGGTCGAGTCGCCATTTTGGGCAACGCAGCCGGTGACAGAACGTGCTGCCCAGGTTGCGGGGGGCAGCAAACTCGGGCTCGTGTATCACCCCGTCGAGAGCCCGGGCGGCCCCCACAGCAGGGCTGACTGACGCGCGGAAGCCCGGAGGCCAAAGACCGCGCTCGGAGGAGGTGCCTGGCGCGGTCCTACCTCCGCGGCGGAAGCGGCTCCGAGAGGCGAGAGGCGGCGCTGTCGCTCCCGGGGGCGCTCCCAAGGGCGCAGCTCGGCCTCGGCGGCAGCTGGAGGGGACCGGCCCGCGTCTCCGCGCGCCCAGGCGCCGCCCCGCCCTCGGGCCCGGCCCACGAGGGGCGCGGAGGCTCCCGGGTCTGCCGCAGCGGGGCTTCGGGCCGCCGGCTCCTCGGACCACGCGCTCAAGGCCGCCCCATGTCCGCCCTCCGCCCGCCCCTCGCTGCTCCCGCGCCCGCTTCGTGGGGGGACAGCCGCCCCCTCACACCGAGCATCAGCCGGCAGCAGCCCCTGGGCCCGCAGGGCCACCGCGTCGGGCTCGGAGGCTGAGCCGAAGCCAGTGGGGCGGGAGCGGAAACCTCAGTGGGCGCCGGGCCCCCAAGCGCACCCTTCACACCGCGACAGGCTGGGTGGGCGGGTGGGGCCCGGAGGACAAGGGGTGCCCGCCGAGTGGCCAGCGGGCTTGTGCTCACAGCGCATCCAGGCGCCAGAGGCCGGGACACACATCAGGGCCCCCGGGCCGGAGCTCACAGCCCCTCCACTCAGAAGCCACCCTGTCCCTTGCCGCCCACCCCTCCCCGCGCTCTCCCCACAGCCCCGTGTGCCCCAGAGCACGGCATCGCGCGCGGCTGCCGCACGTCGTGCCCAGCGTGGGTCTGGGCCGGCCGCGACCGCCGCACAGAGCGCGGCGCCCTCCACCGCAGCCGCATCCACCCAGCTCGGCGCCGCCCTCCCGGGTGCGCGGCCCGGGGCCCGGCTGGAAAGGGGCTGCGCGGGGAGCCAGGGGCCATACCCGCCACGCAGCGCCGCCGGGGACGCCGGACGGGCCCGGGCTTGGGCTCCAGCCGGTTCTTGGACTTCAAGATCCAGAACGCGCCGGGTCGCCCGACTGCCTGGTGCTCACCCGCCCGCCCTTCGGCAGCTGCGGACCTGGCATCCCCTGGCTCAGGGCACGGAAGGGTCAAGCCGGGAGTTGTTCTTAATTTTGCTCAGGAAAAGCGGTATCAGCGGGAGCTAAAGACAGCAGAAACCCACGAGGCGTCTGAAAACCACCCGTTCTGCAGATTCGGGGAGACAGCTTGGAGGCAGTCAAGGGTGCCGGCACCTGCAGCACCACTGAGGACAGACCTGGCTCCCCAGTGACTCATGTCCAGACCCCAAACAATTCCGTTGACTTGTTGGTTCGCCTCTACAACTGATTGTGGTTTTTATTTGGTTCCTTTTTTTTTTTTTAATTCATGAATGAGACACATCCAGACCGCCTGACTAACATGCCCAGGACTCACACCAAAGGGGAAGTATTGGGCCTCCCTGGTGGTGCAAGGGGTTAAGATACAACCTATGAAGCTATCCACAGCCACTGAAGCACGAGTTCGATCCCCTGCCAGGGAGCTACTCACAGGGCTCTGCAGACCTCACCTGTCTCGCCCGCTGCCCACCTCAGCAGTATATTTCAGTCACTCCACCTGTTCTGTTCCCCACTCTGTCTCTGGTGAATCCTCTCACCTCCCATACCGCTGGCCTGTACCCCAGTTCTTGTATGCACAAAAAGATAAATATTAAAAAAAAAAAAAGAGTATGTTTGTGAACACATGGCCAAGCCCAATCACACAAAATTACAACACTGTGGAGTTTAAATGTGAGGAGGGATGACTCCTGGGTGAAAGTTTTTGTACATTTAAAGCCTGAATTCCAAGTTTTTCTGTCCAGTGTGACTTCTAAATTCAATGAGGGGTAACTTAAAGGAGAAAGTATTCCACATCCTTTATATGCACAGGGTTTCTCTCCTGTGTGAAGTCACCAATGTCAAGTAAGGGATGACTTACAGGACAGCTTCTTACGTTCTCTATATTCATAGGGCTTCCTCCAGTGTGCCTTCTCTGATGAATACTGAAGTCTGACTTTGTGTAGAAAGTTTTCCCACATTTTTCACATTCATAGGGCCTCTCTCCAGTGCGCCTTCTCTCATGGATGATGAGGCTTGACTTTTGGGAGAAAGTTTTCCTACACACTTTACATTCATTGAGCCTCTCTCCAGCGTGCCTCCTCTCATGGTTAGTGAGGTGTGACTTTCGGGAGAAACTTTTGTTACACTCTTTACATTCATAGGGTTTCTCTCCTGTGTGAATTCGCAGATGAACAGTGAGTTCTGACTTCGGAGAGAACATTTTCCTACATTTTTTACACTCATAGGGCTTCGCTCCAGTGTGCCTTCTCTGATGAATATTGAAGTCTGACTTTGTGCAGAAAGTTTTCCAACATTTTTCACATTCATAGGGCCTCTCTCCAGTGTGCTTTCTCTGATGGACACTGAAGACTGATTTCTGGGAGAAAGTTTTCCTACATTCTTTACTTCATTCAAAGGGCTTCTTTCCTTTGTGACTTCTCTGACGAACAGCGAAACCTGCCCTCCGCTTGTAAGGTTTTCTACATTCACAGCATTTGTCCTCTTTGTGAGTCTTCCCATACTTAATAAGGACTGACTTCAATGTGAGAATTTTCCCATATTCTTGATACTCATAAGGGTTCTGTCCTGTCTGCTGTCTCTGATGTACACCGGGTGCTGACACCCAGGGGAATGTTTTCTTGTGCTCTTTACATTCACACCATCTCTGACTTGTAAGACATTCCTGATGGCCACTGAGGGCTGAATTCTTGCAAGTTTCACACCATTCATCAGGCATCTAACCTTTTCTATGTATGGATGCTTAGTGAGAAGAAACATTTTATACAAAGTTTTACCACATCTGTTATTGTCAATGTTTTTCTCTATCTTTTCTGTTCTCTCATGCTGAGAAAGGGATAATTTCTTGCTGGCATTTTCTCCACACTGGACACGCTAATGGGGATCAACCTCAAAACTTCTACAAAAAATGAACTGTGTTGGTTTCTCAAAAAAGTTGCCCCCTTTTGTTAGAGCTGTCACCAATCTCCCCTCTGTGAGCCGTCTCTTAGACAAGGAGGATGGCCTTTCCTACGCTTCCCATATTTCTTATACTTACAGGGAGTCTCTTCTGGAAAAGCCCTCCTATGTCTAGAGACCATTATTACCTCCTTGTTGAAGGCTTTCTCACCTCTACTAAATCCAAAAGCCTGCTGCGAAGTATGAACTACCTCATGAAATGTAGAATACTGAGGACACTGCAGGGATCCCCAGGTTAGAGCCAAGGCCTCAGGCCTGCTAGGGCAAAGCACCTCACACATTTTAAAGTCCCTGGGCATCACTGCTGAATAATCACCATTATTTAGGATGTTTCAAAACATTAGAGGTCAAGCTGCGTGTTTTTCCTAAGTCTCTTACCTCATCAGTTGATGTTCTGCTCCTGGCCAATACAACTTTACAGAAACACCTGCCCTGATTTTCCAGGTTGGTTTCAATCAGGTCATGCAGAGTCTGAGCCTCTAAAATGAGATAAAAATAACCCTATCTATTAACATCTTAACATTCCTTGTGGAATACAAACATAACGTAATATTTATGCCAATAAAACAAGACTTTAAAGGTCATTAAGTGGCTGTTGACATAATACATAGAAATGTTTTCCTCGCTATTCGTATAACAAATTTCATTAATAGATTTTCTGAATTCAAATCAAGTTCACAAAAAACAGAAGCAAAAAAAATCTTAAGTTTGTTTTACTGTTTTAATTCATGAAGAAATTTTGGTCAATAAACTTACCTACTTTCTAGCCATAGCTTTCAGCTCAGAGATTTACACCTAATACTTGTTTACTCTGCCCTTTCTCTGTATTTCTGTCTGTATTAAAGGAGTGTCTAACCATGGCTCTTTGATGTTAACTCAACCTTTGAAAAATGGCAGGATGTTCTGCATCAGCTACTTACTGGATGTGGAGGAGGTCATTCGTCTGTCATTTTACAATGAACAACACTTAGGGGAATGTCCACAGACAGCTCTGGGTTTTCTCTTCAAGGCACAACATCTTGGGGCCTCTGGTGGTGCAAGAGGTTAAGACGCAGCACTATGAAGCTACGTGCAGCCACTGCAGCACAGGTTCAATCCCCAGCCGGGGAGGTAACCCACATGGCACAGTAGACTTCTCTCTGGCCCGTTGCTCCCCTCAACAGCGTATTTCAGTCAGTCTGCCTCTTCTGGTGTTCCCCACTCTATCTCTGGTGGATCCTTTCACCCCCACACCTCTGGCCTGTACCCCAGTTCTTGTATGCATAAATAAATCTTTTTTTTTTTTTTAAAAAGAGCATAACATCTTCTTTCCCATACTTGACAAAGAAAGCTTTCTGCAATTTTCCTAATAAAACTATTACTGGCTTCTCAGAACCTAAGAAGCACAGGAAACCATGGATCATCATTTTGTACAACTGTCCTGTTAAGCTAAAATATTTAGGGTACACAGCCCACACTGTGCAACTGCCTTTAAGAAGCCCTTTTCCAGAGAATAATTCACTGCCTCTAAAGACATCAGAGTTCACTGTTTGAGACTTCTGCCGTCTCCAAGTTATACTGTACCTACAGTCCATGTATCGCCTACTTTTTCTGTTTTAGAACATGATTTCCACAAGAGAAAGTGAAACCAGCTATTTTGAAGGCCCACTCCCAAAGCCCCAGCCCCATAACCTAACACTTTTGGCACTACTGGATTTGGGATTCACTATCTTATACTATTTTCCTCCCATGTTACCACTAACTCCTCTCCCAAATGAACAATTTGCTGGGAAGGAGTCAGCATCACAACTGCTGATGCTGTTGGTCACAAAGCTTGTCCCTAGACATCACGTTCTGAATTGACTCCCTAGACCCCGTTCTCTAATGCCACCAGCTCTGAGCTTCTGATTTCCTAATTCCCATCCGTAACAGTGATAAATGCCCAGTCCTAGATTGTTTATATATTGCACATTCAAATGGCAAAGTGGAAATCTATTATGTCAAACTCGGTATCTACAATGCAAATACTTAACTCTCCTAAAAGGGCCATCTGAGCACATTTTCTAAAGTAACAGCCCATTTTTCTCTCCCTCATATAAGTTAAACACTCTGTGGCTCTTACTTCACTAGTTAATATGTATATAGCCTTGGGGCCTCCCCGGTGGTGCAGCGGTTGAGCGCTGGGTTGCGAAGCTGCCCGCGGCCTCTGCGGCGCCGGTTTGATCCCTGGCTGCTCCCCGGCCACCGGAGGAGGGTCCCACATGGCGCGCAGACCTCTCCTGCCGCCCGCTGCTCCCCTCAGCAGTGTACTTGGGTCCTTCTGCCTGCTCTGCTCCCCGCTCTGGCTCTGGTGAATTCTCTCACCCTCCCGTGCTTCTGACTGTACCCAGTGCATGTATAAACAAAACAAACAAATAAATAAATAAATAAAACATGCTTCTATTAAAAAAAAAAAAAAATATGTATATAGCCTTCATTTTTCTATTTTAACAAAAAATGAGCTCCATAAAATGATGAGAAGTTCCTGGATCCCTTCTTATCCTGATGTGGCAGAATACACTGGTGTTGAACAGTCCCCAGTTAACATGATCAAAGAATAAGCAGACATATAAATAAATGCCTTAAAAAAAAAACAACAACAACAGGGAAATGGAGAATCCAGAGAAAGTGACTGACCACAACATTCTAAGAGGATTCAATCTGCATTGGATTTTGGCTAAGTCTAAGAAAGTTTATCTTCATTTAAAAAGGGGGGCAGAGGGTAAAAGGAATTTCTATGTCAGAGGCACATTTGGAGACATATTAATGAACATGTCAGATACGTGCAGATCAGGTGCCTGAGTTTGGACCTGGGGAAAGCCTTTGGAGAAAACAGTTCAGTATGCCCAACACCTGCCGGGCTCTCCTCTTCCAGGCTTCCCGCCCAGGATGCAGACTGACCTGAGAAGTTCTGGGTTGGAGGCTCTTCCACAGTCTACAGTTGTGTTCCTTGCTCCATCCTCACAATCACCTCAGGCTTGGTGACACAACACCCTGTTGGTGAGAAATAAAGCAGAACTTTGGACAACCTGCATGAGGCTTGCTGTCTCTGAAAGACAATAGCAGAACTTCAAGTGGTGCACAATGAGGGGAGAATATGAATCTTAAATGAAGAGGTAGACAGTCATTCCCGATGGCCCAGAATCTAAATATAAGTTGCACTTAATTTTGTGCACAGTTGTACATTCATCAATGAAAAGCACAGAGCTTACACTTGGCAGTGACTGGGCACCTTCACTCACCCAGGGAGGCCAGTCTCCCACGGTCCCTGTAGAGGGTCCTCTGAGTGTTGTTCAGGTCCTGCCACTCCTCCCAGGTGAAGCTCACAGCTACGCCCCCAAAAGTCACCATCTCCTGGGCCTTTTTGATGATGCAAGGGGTTAAGACACAATCTATGAAGCTATCCACAGCCACTGAAGCACGAGTTTGGTCCCCAGCCAGGGAGCTACCCATATGGCGCAGCAGACCTCTCCTGACTCACCCACTGCAGTATATTTCAGTCACTCCACCTGTTCTGTTCCTCACTCTGTCTCTGCTGAATCCTCTCACTCCCCATACCTCTGGCCTGTACCCCAGTTCTTATATGCATATTAAATAAATAAATCTTAGAAAAGAAAAATCACCATCTCCTGTAATGACACCTTTCCCCCTCAATTCAACACATCAGCGTGAGTCAGAACTGGCAGCTAGGAGTTTACTTTTGTACTTTTTCCTCTTACCTCAGTGGCATCATGTCATATTCTCTATGTTGTGAGATAAACATACAAGTATCCTACCTCTGTATTAAATCATTAGTTGTGAAAAAATACTACTACTTTCCCTCACAGATCTGCAATTATTCTTTTTGCTAAGAATAGAAGGATGAATAAAACACTGACCCTCACATGTTTTTATAATCTGGTTTGGAAGGATAAGCATAGAAAATACCTGGAATAACATATTTTAGGATTTCTCAAAAACATGTTCGATGTAGAATGGGTAAAATAAGGGGAACGAAGTAGCAAACTTGTGCCATTAAGCTGCACACTTCACTGAAGACCAGAGATGTCCCGCAATTCCACACGAACCACATTTTTCATGAATAAGAGGCAAGCACAGAAATGAACTGGAGGAAGTTAAGAGCATTTGCCATGTGACTGGAAGTGCAAAAAGCCACTCTGTGTAGGTGGGTGTTCCTGGCCTTGAGACAGATAGCAACAGTAAGCGTATTCAAGAAACTGGCTATGAAGTTATTTTTTATATATGACCTAATACAGCAAAAAAATTTTATATGGGGGACTCCCTGATGGCCTAGGGGTTAAGCATCAGTGCTAATACCGCTGCGGTCTGACTGAGTTTGATCTGGGCCAGGGAGCTGACCCACATGGCGCAGCAGACTTCTATCTCCCGCTGCTCCTCTCAGCAGTGTATTTTCAGTTGATCTGCCTATTTGGCTCCCAACTCTGTCTCTGGTGAATCCTCTCACTCCCCATACCTTTGGCCTGCACCCCAGTTCTTCTAAGCAAAAAAAAAAAAAAATAAGAGAACAAGAACAAAAGTAGAAGAAATACGAATTTTAACTGATAGAAAAAGAGTAACATGTCATAATAATGAAGAAGAGATTTGTCAAAAGATTGTGCTAGCAATAGGAAAGCCCAGCACTGAGAGACCAATTAATAAGTCCATCATATTCTTTTCCTGTGCAGAAAACCCTACGATCATCCACACATGTACTTTCACCTTTGTAGTAACTAAAATACGTGGATTCAAGGAATTTTTGGATAACACAACTCTATGCCTGTGTCTTAGTCATGTGACCGGCAGCATCACACTTGAGGGAAAAGCCTTCAGGACAAGGACGCTCCCTCCCCACAGCCAGCAGCTGGGCCTGGTAGCGTCAGCCAACACAACTGGAGAGAAAAGCAGCAGTGAGGAAGTGCATACACTATGTGACTCACACCTGCGGAAAATAGAGAGAAACACTCAAAAACGACCTGCATCTTGTTCTCCCACGATATTACAAAAGGAAAAACTACCCTGTCCAGAAGCTGTTTTTTTTTTAAAGATTTTATGTATTTATTTTTGTGTAGAAGAACATGGAATCAAAAAAACAAACAAGCAAACAAAAAAACAAAGGCAACTACATTATTTAGGGCTGTACTTTCAAAAGCAAGTAACACTAGCCTAGAAAGTTCTGACAGTTTTGGGTTTAGACTGGGTGGTAATCTATGCACACAAGCCTTATCAAAAGAGCAGTCAAGCCCAGTCAAGGAAGGCACGGTTAACATTTTTTATCCTAAGAAATCATTTTTCTTATTTTTTAATTTTCTTATTTTTTAAAGATTTATTTCTTTATGCATACAAGAACTGGGGTGCAGGTCAGAGGTGTAGGGGGTGAGAGGATTTACCAGAGACAGAATGGGGAGCAGAACAGGCAGATCTACTGAAATCCACCGCCGAGGGGAGCAGCGAAGAGAGAGGAGAGGTCTGCTGTGCCATGTGGGTCAGCTCCCTGGCCAGCGATCGAACTCGTGTTGCAGTGGCTGTGGACTTCATAGTGCTGAGACTTAACCCCTTGCGCCACCAGGGAGGGGCCTTCTGAATTTTATATTTTATCTCATTTCATTCTTGTGTTGAGTAAGAATGAGATATAAAATTATAGAAAGTGTATCACCTGAGGATGTCATACAGGTTAGCATTCTTAAACAATCACTACAAATTTCTAAACACATCTATCATGTCCTAGTAAGTCGAAATCCCCACGCTCAATGCTTTTTTGTAACAAATTCTATGGGGTGAAGCATAAAATGCCACTGTTGGAAGATCAAAAGACAAGCTCCTCTGCGGTGCAGTCTACCTTATCTTTTTTTAATAAATAAGATCAATGATCATTCCCAAGAAGATTGTGGAAATATATACACAGGAAACACTTATTATGAATTTTTGAATTTACATACTCCACTGAAAGCAATTATGGGGCATGATTAAGGTAAGATTTTAAAACATGTGTTCTAAGTTGATGCAATTTCTGGGAAAAAAAATGCTGTCAAGAAGAAACTTGTGGTTGGGCTAAACTGTGGCACGTCAAGTGACCCTGGCAAATCACTAGAGTCGGCAAGTCAATTTTTCCTATTGTTCTTAGAAGCCAGATTTACACTGACAAAATCACACCCAATAACCAAGAACATTTGAGACGGAGGTTCAGCACATCTTTACATACCAAATTTGGCTGGTGTCAGACCAGTTTTGAGGAAGGTGAGATAATGGAAAACCGTGAGGGAGAATGCGTGTGTGCTCACACAGGAAAGCACCAGTTCTCCCAGTTGTGACAGAGCACCCTCCACCCCAGACCACACCTTCCAGAAACCTCTAAGGAGGGACATTTTGTTGTCCTCTACCTACCTCTGTATATCAGTCTCCGACAGCTTCGGGAGGAGGTACTGTCACCCGGACTCCTTCACCCTGGGCAGAAGCACCAACAGTTACTTGACCAAGCAAAGCTAGGAGGTCCTTCCTGTGGCTTCTCTCTCTGCTCTGACAGGCTCCCCACTGGGGTTCAGGTCACAGTGCTGTCCGAGGGGGCGGCGAATTCCTACTCACAGGAACAACCCTTCATTCTCCCCAACAGCTGCCTGTTCCAAACAGCACAGGACCACCATCCTGAACCGAAATACTGCTACTCACACTCAGTCCCTAGGAACTAGGTCTTGTAGACGTTTCTGCAGAGTTGTGCCAGGAGGGAGGCACCACCGGGAACAGCGCGGCCCCGACGCTTCCAGAGGAGAGGATCTCGGAAAGCCCACAAATGCACCCTCACATATAACGTCCACACCCGCTTCCAGGTATTTCTGCTGGAATCCACAGCTCCGCCGAGTCATGAGACGGTCCCCGCCAGATCCCGGGCACAGGAGAGAAGCCACAGGAAGCTAAGCTGACGCAGTAAAGACTCCCGCAGACCCCTCCAGCAGGACAGCAGCTGCCCGGGCAGGAAATCCCAGCACCCCCTCCGGGCAGGAGAGACCCCTGCCCGGCAGCAGGTAACTCCAGCAGACCCTCCGGCAGGAGAGACCCCACTGCCCGCGCCCAAACCCGCCGCAGCGGCCTGACCCCAGGCAGACCCGCTGTCCCCGCTTCAAGGGGACGCGCCCTCGCAGGCCGTCGTCAAAGGCTGCTCCGCCCCGACGAGCGCGGCCTCCTCTCGTCTCCACCACCCACCCGGCAGCTCGAGGCGCGCGGGGAGCAGGAGCAGGTGCCGCCTCCGGGCAGTGTCGCGGGGCGCAGGCCTTCCTCCGCCCCCGCCCGTGGCCCACATCCCCCCCGGCCCCCTGACGAGGAGGGGCGCCCCAGCCGCCAGCCGGCTCTCCGCTCCCGTCGCGCTCCGGGGCCCCGAGCCCGCGCCCTCCCTCCGCCGCCCTCCCCTGCTGCGGCCCAGTCCCGCGCGCGGGGCCGCTCACCTTCACCCCCGCGCTCGGGTCCCCGCCGGCACCTCCCCCCCGCACAGCCCCGGCCCCCCTTCACCCCCGAGCCTGCACCCGGGGCCCTCGCCGGTGTCCCTGTTCCCTCCCGCCGGCGATACTAGCGCTCAGGCCCGCCTCTCACCGCGCACGCACGCGGGCCCCGGCGAAGGCGGAAGGACCGCGGCGCCATGACTTCCGGCCCGCGGGGGCGTGGGGCGGGCGGGAGCGCCCGCGCGGAGCGGAAGGGGCCGGGGAGGCCTTCCCAGAAGCCTTTGCGGAGCCGCCATTCCAGCGCCGCCTACATGTCCCACAAGCCTGTGCGCCCAGCCAGTGGGCCCGGGGTGGGGGGTGGGGGGAGAGGGTGTTTTCATGGCAGGACAGCCTGGGCCTGAGACCTGACCTGGTGGGGGGGCCAGGCTGGTTCATTAATAGCTGGGTTCCCCCATCGGAAAAGAATGTGCGTGAACGGGAGAATTCGAATTGGGGTACATGTTCCTTGATGTTGTTTACTGTTACTGATTTTGGCGTGCCCATGACGACAGGCTTGTTAATGCCCGCATGCTGCTTTACTGCATTTCGGAGTTTCAACGACCAGTAGTGTTTGAATGCCTCCCAATTTCCTACTCCCTTAAATGGACTATCGGTTGGTATGCTTTCTTTGGGGTACTGTTAACCCCAAAATCCAGGACATTTAAAGGCAGGCATGCTTATTTCAAATTAAGGAATTGCAATTTAGCATACAGATTCAGGTAGAAATCTAAAATGTGCCGCCTCCCCGCAAGGAAGGATGAAGTTGAGGGTTTATATAGCAGGAAGAGAAAGATAAGGCAAATAAAGAGTTGAACACTGTTAACAAGTTGAACTGATTTTTTGCTACACAAAATTGGTTGCTTGTCCTCTAGAAAGGATCAAAATGCAACCGACTGGTTCTAACTTCTGACTCATTCACTGCTCATGACTCCAAACACTTCTCAAAAAAATTGTTTTCTTGATGTTTTCTTATTTATTTATGCATACAAGAACTGGGATGTAAGCAGGAGGCACCGGAGGGTGAGGCTTCACCAGAGACAAACAGACCACACAGATTTACTGAAATACACTGCTTAGGGGAGCTGCGGGGGAGAGAGGAGAGGTCCACTGTGCTATGTGGGTCAGCTCCCTGGCCAGGATTGAATTCAGGCCGCAGCGGCTGGCGATATTTTGATAGCGCTGAGACTTTAACCCTGCACCACCAGGGAGGCCCTTGATTGGTTTCTTAATACAATTGCGCTTGGTCCGTCATTCAAAAGGTCTTTAGCCTGGTTCATAAGAAAGTTAATGTAGTATCTTTATGAAAGCTCTCTAGCTGCATTTGACAGTGTCACAGATGTCAACTTTGCATACTACCATTGCAGGTTGAGTGTGGGCAAGTTAGGTAACTGGTCACTTTGGGGAACACATCTTCAAAGTAACCACACACAAGTAACTAAGCTCAAAGATCCTTATGTGTACACAGACATAAATCACAAGATACTAGATTTTGAGACAACAGCCTTATAAATTGAGATCTTTGGGAGTATTTGTAGAGTGTGGGTCTGCTAACTCAACCATTTTTGTTACCGATACAACAGAAGAGGGCATAGCTGCATGTGGAATTATGTGAACTCCATGGTCATAAAGTAGTGTGTCATTCAGTAACTTCCAAAAATGGTCACATAATATTTTCCATTCCATATGCTTTTTCGTAATGTACTCTTGCAATACTCCCATTGCGATAGAGTCTATTTCTCTACCCCTTAGAATCTTCATGGGTCCTTGAACTGTTGTGAACAACAGAAACATAAAAATGACACTACTAGCAGGACAACACGTTCCCTTGGAGGCAAAATCAAGATTTTGAGAAATGTACTCAAGACTTTAAGAAAAATTTCAACAGAATGGAAAATATTTCTTTCTGAAAATTTTCATCCAAATTAAGATTCATTATAGACTCTGAAATGCATGAAGGTAGCATTATGTTGGAAACTGGCAAATCAAAGATCTTTATAAGGCTTCACTTTATACTCATTCAATTCTTGCTTAGACTTGACTTTTCCATCAATTAATTTGAGGGTGAAAAACGTGAATACAGCTCTTTCCTGGGTGAATTTTCTACACGTTTGTCCCAAATTGATCAAGAAAATTGCCCACAATGAACTGGTTATGTTGTAAACAAATCACACATGGAAGGGCTTAACATACCAAGTATTTATTTCTCAGTCCGAAGAAAAGTATAAATGGAGATTGTTGAGGTAGAATCTGGAAGACTGCTCTCCCTAATCCTTGATCCTGGCTTACATTAGGGGGCAGTCCTCATCTGATGGCTCCCAAGACAAACCAAAGGGAATAAAAAAGCTGGGAGAATGCACATATTTTTTGCCATCCCTTGTTTTCATATTCTCCTGGTCAGAGCTAAGTTCCAGGGCCTAACCATGGTAAAGGGAGGCTGAGAAAGGCAGTTTACCAACAAGAATACATTTTGTGAACAAGTTAAGTCTCCATCATATAATTCCCATGCATGATTTCCTAATTTACACTAGACTGACATGTGAAGAACATTTTTATTCTGTATCATCATAGATGATACAGGTGAAACTCCTGTGTGAATTTCCTGGAAACTCTCAAGGACTGGTTCCGGGAGAAAGTTTTCCTACATTCTTTACATGCATAGGACTTTCTCTCCTGTATGACTTTCCTGATGTAGAGTGAGATTTGTCTTACAGGAGAAGGTTTTTCTACATTCTTTACATTCATAGGGTTTCACTCCTATATGACTTCTCTGATGTTTACTAAGGTCTGACTTCTGGTAGAAACTTTTCCTACATTCTTCACATTCATAGGGTTTCTCTCCTGTGTGAATTCTCTGGTGTACAGTGAGGGCAGATTTCTGGTAAAAAGATTTCATACATTCTTTACATTCAAATGGTTTCTCTCCTGTGTGAATTCTCTGGTGTACAGTGAGAGCTGACTTATGATAGAAAGATCTCCTACAATCTTTACATTCATAGGGTTTCTCTCCTGTGTGAGTTCTGTTGTGTCTATTAAAGACTGACTTCCAGTAGAAAGTTTTCCCACATTCTTTACACTCATAAGGTTTCTCTCCTGTGTGAGTTCTTTGATGATAACTGAGGGCAGACTTGTAGTAGAAAGTTTTCCTACATTCTTTACACTCATAAGGTTTCTCTCCTGTGTGAATTCGCTGATGTATAGTGAGGGATGACTTCTGGGTGAAAGGTTTCTTACATTCTTTACATTCATAGGGTTTCTCGCCTGTATGAGTTCTTTCATGTACCGTAAGGCCTGATTTATTGTAGAATGTTTTCCTGCATTCTTTACATTCATAGGGTTTATGACCTGTGTGAGTTCGCTCATGTACAGTGAGTGCAGACTTCTGCGAGAAACTTTTCCTACACTCTTTACATTCATAGGGTTTCTCTCCTGTGTGAATTCTCTGATGTAGTGTTAGAGCTGACTTCTGTGAGAAACTTTTCCTACATTCTTTGCACTCATAAGGTTTCTCTCCTGTGTGCGTCCTCTGATGCACAGTGAGGTCTGATTTGCAGTAGAAAGTTTTCCTACAATCTACACATTTGTAGGATTTCTCTCTAGCACTTATTTTATGTTTATTAAGATTAGATATTTTATAGAAAGTTTTGCCCAGTACGTTACAGTCAAAAGGTTTCTTTCCTAACTGAGATCTCTGGAACTGAGTGAGGTATAACTTCTTACTGAGATTATTCCCACTTTGATTAGATTTATGGTGTTCCTCCAGGAAAAAAGCTCTATGAAGGTTCAGCTGTGTTGGTTTCTCAGAAAAGGTTTTATCCCATTTGTTCCATCTGTACTGAGTGTCCCCAATATTAGTTGTCTCTTGGCCAATGAGGACTGATTTATCAAAGACTTTCCCAAATTCATTATATTTACAGGTAGTGTTTCCCACAAGAGTGTGTGGGAGTGTGTGTAAAGTGTGTGTAAAGATTGCATCCTTGTTGAAGGTTTTCTTTGGTCCAATAAATTCAAAAGGCTGTTGTAGAGTTTGAATCACCCGATGAAAACCAGGATTCTCAGGATATTGGAGGGACTTTGCAGCTGTATTCCGGCCCTCAGGTTTCTCTCCAGCATGAATCACATCAGGGTCACCAGGAAGAAATATGTTCTCATTTGCAGTCAACTCCTGAGGTGTTATTCCCGAATAGGTTTCATAATTTGTCATCAGTCTTGAAATATGGATTGAGCTCAAATTAAATGTTTTTCCTAAGTCAGTTCTCTCCTTAGTTGATGTTTTGTTGGTGGTGGCTTCAATTTGCCACGAATGTCTGCTCTGGTTTTTCTGGTTGATCTCAATCACATCATCCACAGCCTGGATATCTAAAGTGAGATAAAAAATAACCATATGTATCAAAAAATATCTAAGCGGGCCTCCCTCATGGAGGTGGCACAGGTGATTCAGCGCAGCGCTATGACACTGTCCACGGCCTCTGCAGTGCAGGTTCGATTCCTGCTAGCCTCAGAGCAACCCACATGGTGAGCAGACCTCTCCCGTCTCACCCGCTGCACTCCTCAGCAGTGTATTTTGTCAGTCTGCCTGTTCTGTTCCCCACTCTGTCTCTGGCGAATCCTCTCACCCTTCCGCGCATCTGGCCTGTACCCCGGCTCTTGTATAAATAAAATAAATCTTAAAAAAAAAACAAAAACAAAAACCTAAGCATTTCCATGGAATGCTGATATAAAGGCAAAGAATTTTCTTTCTGGCTCAGCAGCACATAAGCTAAAACAAAATGGCATTGATTTTATGATATTTTTCCTGTCTAATCGTGTAAAAAAATGTAATAGACATGGAAATGCCAAATCATGGCATATTCCCAATTAAACACATCACTAGCTTCTGTCCTAACCTTTGGACTTAAGGAAATACATTGCTGAAAAATAGCTCCATCCTGGGCCTCCCTGGTGGTGCAAGGGGTTTAGACGCAACCTATGAAGCTATCCACAGTCTCTGCAGCACAAGTTCGATCCCTGGCGAGGGAGCTACCCACATGGTGCAGCAGACCTCTCGTGACTCGCCCGCTGCTCCCCTCAGCCAGTGTACTTCAGTAGATCTGTCTGTTCTGCTCCCCACTCTGTCTCTGGTGAATCCTCTCATCCCCCCCACATCTGGCCTGTACCCCAACTCTTGTATGCATAAATAAATAAATCTTTTTAAAAAAAAAAAAAAGAAAAGAAAAATTGTTCAATGTAGTGAGCCTCTGCTGGGCTTTCCACTTATGTCTCGTAGGCACTGACTGACCTGACAGCCTCTCATGTCGGGGCCCTTCTAAAGTCCATGGCTCTGCTCCTTGCTCCAACCTGATGATCACCTCAGGTTTGGTCACGCAGTGCCCTGTTAATGAGAACAATGGCTTATGTAGCATGCCATTTGAAGAGCAACAACAGCAGCAGAGTTTAAGAGTTGTACATAGAAGGGCTAATTAGAACCTTTTATTAGAGGGTTAAAAACTCACATTATTCCTGGCCTGAAATCATAAACCCAAAGTCTTAAGTTTATAAACAGTAGCATAGTTGCCAATAAAGAAAACAGTGCTTGCACTCGGCAGGGACAGGGCCGTTTGGCTCACCTAGGGATGCCAGGCTACTGTAGGTCTCCAGCATCACGTCCCTGTAGAGGGTCCTCTGAACGTCGTCCAGGTCCTGCCACTCCTCCCAGGTGAAGGCCACGGCCACGTCCTCAAAGGTCACCATCCCCTGTAATGGCACCATCTCCTCAACTCTACATACCAACCTGAGTCAGAAGAACAAGACTCTTCTCTGTGTGTTTTACAAAATACAACATGCTTTTTATTCTATATTTCAGGGAAAAGAGACATCATGGAAGAAATATACTAACACTATTAATTTACTAGTTCCTAAAAGAACTATTACACTTTCCCTTACATATCTGAAATTGCCTAGCTAGTAACAATAAAAAAATGAACAAAGTCCTGCACCGTAAGTAGCTAATAATTTGGTTTTAGAGATATAAGTATGAACACATAACTGGAAAAGTATAGTAGATCTATGTTAAAATGGGGAAAATGGCACTCTGTACTCTGATTGCAATTCCCTAAAGATGCAAAGATGTTAAGATCCTCCATGTGAACCACGTGTTTTCATGAATTTGAGGCAACAGAAGAATTCAAGACGTGAGGGCATGAAGAACAGCTATATTTGGAACCCCAAATATCATTCTCAGTGCCAGTAAGTGGTCCTGGGATGTGATGAGAAATACAGACATGAAAGTTATGCAGATAACTGATTATGAAGTTATTCTGCATTTAATGTTACCTAATTCCATGAAAAATATATGGACATATTTTATAATAACCTACAAAATAAATGTACACACGCATTCTAATATTTCCTGGACATTGTGTATTTCCACCCCAGAGCTAACACAGCATACTTCCTAAACCACAGGGTGTAAATAATGAGGGTCAGTTAAATTGAGATGTTACATGAATGAATCTGCATTCAACAGTCAACTCCACGTAGGCTGAGAAGGGCTTTGGGAGAATCCAGGAGAATGAACACTTACACTGAGATAACAGAAGAAAAGGAAAACAGAACAGGGGGCCATTTCTAAAACAGAGAAAAAGAAAAAGGAGAAACAGAATTTGGTACTAATTTGTGCCAGAAGGGGGAAGGGCATGATTTACTATCAAGCTGTCTGCGTGACCAGCTGCGTGGATACTGCAATCTGAAACTGGGAAAACAGACCAAGTGTGATGGGCACAAGTTGCTGCAGTTCGGTTTGAAGTTTCTGCTCTCCCTTATCTGGGGATGTCCAACTAGCAACTGATACATAGTGTTAATAAAGTTCTCAGTGAATCTTATTGGGGTTGACTATGAATGGAACTTAAAAGGTTATTGCACCTGGAAATCCTCATCTCTCCTCTGATTCAGAAAGTTCTCATCCCTTTCTTTTTTCTCTGAGGGATTAATATGATGCAAATATTGTCAAACTTGACAGTGGCCCTTAATTCACATGTTCACTCTTTCGTTTTCCCTTTTTCTTTTTTTTTAAATTACTTTTAATTTTTATTTAATTTTATAATTTGTTTTTATTTATTTTTATTTTTGGGTAGAAGATCTGGGATACAAGCCAGTAGTGCAGGGGATGAGAGGATTCAGCCGAGACAGAGTGGGGAACAGAACAGGTGGATCCACTGCAATCCACCTCTGAGGGGAGCAGCGGGGAGACAGGAGAGGTCTGCTGCGCCATGTGGGTCAGCTCCCTGGCAGGGGATCAAACTGAGGCCCTAGAGACGAGAGCACTGAGACAACCTTTAGGCCACCAGGGAGGCCCAGTTATCCCTTATTCTTCTCTGTATTATTTTTAAATGATGTAATTGTATGGGGAATATAAAAATAAAATTTAAATTAAAAAAAATAAAAATAAATAAAATGAAAAGATGGAGCTTTGAGTTTACAGATCCTTTCCTCTGAATCAGGTATGCTGTTGATAATTTCTACTGTAGTTTCCATATCTACTTGATAGTTTGTTATAATTTCTATCTCCACTGACTCTGGGTTTAGTTAATGCACTTTCCTTGCTTTTGCTGAATTGTCTGTTTTTTCTTGCAGCTTGCTGAACTTCCTTGAAACAGAATTGTCAGGCACTGCAGGACCCATGGCCCAGTGAAGCGCTGGGTGTGGGATGGATGCTGGGAGAACTGATGGCAGCCAGGTCACAGGCAGGACACAAACAGCTCCTCTTGCAGAGGGGCATGACAGCATTGCTCCAGGGGCCCTGCAGCAGTGGCACCACTGCTTACATCAGCGATGAAAACTCCTGTGTTCGCTTCATAGCAGGCTGCTTGAGTGGCCCTGATGAACACCACGAGATCCACCATGAGAGAAGTTGCCAGCTGCCACGGACTCCTCAACAGAAAAGCCAACTGTGGGCCTCTGCTGAGCCGGCCGCTGGGGATTTTGGGATCTCCCAGGTTGTCCTTTCCATGCGGTTCTTCTCCATTCTTCTGATCCAACTTTCTTTAGGTTCTTAACTGGACTCTTGAGGCCTTCAGGACCATTTTGCCCCTAGAAGCTGACAAACTGGGGGGAATAAAGGCTGGTATAACCTACTCTGCCCTGGAGTGGACATCCTTCTGAAAAGTGTACATTATAAAAGGTTTTCACCTAATGAGGCCAGTGTAGACAAGAAGGAAGGAAGGATGGTCCGGGGAAAAAGGTGGGCTCTAGCAGGGTACAGAATGCAGGGCTTTTCAAAGGTTTCCCACTCCCAGATAGAAGCCTCTGAGAAACCTCATTGGGTAATTACAGGACTGCCAGATTGCCATGCAAGGATACTCCCAGTGATCCTTTTCCTTATTATTTCCTTTTTCAAATGAGAAAATTGTGTGCTTATCCTGCCCATGCTCTACCCTTATATACTGAGTATGGAGACGGCAGAAAACTGGTCTTCCAAGGTCACAGGTCTCTGGAGCCACAGTGGTATCCAGGCCTTTGAGAGGAAAGTACCACCTAGAGGGAACCGCATCCCCCCAGGGATGGGGAGCTGAGGCACACGTGGGAAAGACAGAAACACGGAGGCACCACTGGCCACTTATTTTTTTTTTTTAAAGATTTATTTATTTATTAATACAAGGACTGGGTACCGTCAGAAGCACGGGAGGGTGAGAGAATTCACCAGAGCCAGAGGGGAGAGCAGAGCAGGCAGACTGACGAAGTACACTGCTGAGGGGAGCAGCGGGTGGCAGGAGAGGTCTGTGCACCATGTGGGACCCTTGCCTGGCGGCCGAGGATCAAACCGGCGCTGCAGAGGCTGCGGGCAGCTTCGCAACCCAGCGCTCAACCGCTGCGCCACGGGGGGGGGGGGTTGCCCATAGCCACTCATTTTCAGCGCTGCAGTGAGATGACAGAATCTGCCCAGATGTCAGTGGCTGGGATGACCACCCCTTCTGAAAAATCTTTACGAGCTGGCACTTGGTTCATTGCAGTTTCACCTCTTGTCACAGAACCAGGACTATTTCTGGTCTTCCATCACCCTGAGGCCAGAGAAAAGGATAACGCACGCCTCTGCTGTGCAAGCCTCTTGGACGCTGGGTTAGGGTTTAGGGGTTAGGGTTAGTAAACTATTCTACCCATATCCCAAACTAACGCAGTCCAGAGAAAAAGAGATCCTGAATGCAGCCGGAGGGAAGAGAGAACATATGAGTAAACCACATGTGAATGATGGATGACTTCATACCAGAAACAATGGAGAAACATCTGTAAAGGGAGTATCTTTCAATCCATGATCCCATACTGAGAAACCACATTAAAAATGGAAGGTAAAATCAAGACAGTTTCAGATAAGCAAAAACTAAGATAACTGTCATCAGAAGTCTGTCCTACAACAGGCGAAAGGACATTTTCTAAGCAGAAGGACAGTCATTAGGATGTATACAAAGAATCAATAGTGGTTAAAAATAAGGGATTATATATTTATCTTTATTTTTTTTTTACAACAAGTATGATTGCTTAAAAAAAAAACTATGGGCCTCCCCTGGTGGCCCAGCAGTTGAGCGCTGGGTTGTAAGGCTGCCCACAGCCTCTACAGCACCAGTTCGATCCCCGGCCACCGGCAAGGGTCCCACAAAAAAACCAAAAAAACAAAAAAAAAACTATAACACATATAGTGGACCCAATGTATGTAGACTTGATGCGCAAATATAGGCATCAGAAAGGACCAGTGATCAGGGCCATAAAATGAATTTCTCCACTGGAAGGTCCCGATATTTTGAGTGAACTAGACCAGTACTACTTGAATGCATCGCAGTACACACTAGTAAACACTTGAGGAACCAATAAAAATGCTAAGACACCAAAGCAAAGTATCACTGTGTAGAGCCCCTTTAGAAGACAATTTGGTACCATCTTCAAAAGTTAATACTCTTTTCCTTCACGACCCAATTATAATACCATGTTTCTGGTACTTACCCAAAGGATTTGAAAACTTACAGCTACATGAAAACCAGCACATGGATGTTAAAAGCAGTTCTATTCTTGACTGCCAAAACTGGAAGCAAGCACAATGTCCTCTAATATATCAATGAAAGGGTGAAGTGTAATTCATCCAGACAATGAAACATTACTGACTGCTAATAATAAATGAACTGTCAAATCAGAGAAACAGGGAGGACACTTAAAGTTATGTTAATAAGTCAAAGACACCAATTTGAAATGGCTACATAATGTATGATTCTAACTAAGACATGCCAGGAAAGGCAAAACTAGAGAGACAGGAAAACATCACTGTTGCCAGGGGCGATCAGGCAGGGAAGGATAAGTATCACTGCACATTTTTCCAAACCAATAAACAATACCAATAGTAAATCATAATGTAAACCATGGACATGAGGTTATAATAACGTAAATGTCAGTTCATGAATTGCAACAGACATACCACCCTGGTTGGGATGAAGTCGATATGAGGGAGGAAATGTGTATGTGGCAGGGAGGATACTGAAGTCCCTGTACCTGCCACTCAATCATGCTGAGAATAGTAAACTAGTATAATGTGTCCTTTAAAAAAGGGTAGGCAACACTCCCACTGCCCACCTGTGACTATGCAGGTGCCTCTTCTTACCAACTCTCTCCCTCTGCAGGAAAGCAGCTTTCTGGTTGCCAGTGACCTGTACCTGCAGGGGCTTCTCTTCACTGACATCCCTCAGCAGAGGTCACTCTCCTCAAAGCCGCCCGCCTGCAACCATGCAGGCCTCTCTTAGCAAAACCTGTCCCTTTCTGTTTCCCTAATAAACCTGCTCTTTAAATGTAAAAAATAAATAAATAAATAAATAAATAAATAAATAAATAAGGGTAAAGGACTGGAATAGACATTACTAAATGGAAGATATACTAATTGGCACATATGTAAAAAACTGCTTTTGTTCAACACTGCTAGTCATTTCAGAAAAGCAAATCAAAAGCACAGTGAGATAAGATTTTATACTCATGAGGATAGCTGTAATAATAAAAAGAAAGAACAAACCCTTGTGCACTGTTAGTGGGACCATAAAACAGCACAGCCAGCAGGGAAGATAACATGGTAGTTTCTGAAAAAAATCTCAGCATAGAATTACAACATGAGCCAATAACTCCACTTCTTGGTATACGCCCAAGTGAAAGAGGGAACTCAAAATGTTACCTGCACAAACATGCCCACACTAGCACTATCCATTTCAGCCAAAAGTTAGATGCAAGCCAGGCAGCTGCTGATGAAATGTGGTGTGAAAATGGAATGGAATATGGAGACATAAAAAGGAAATAAAATTTTGGCACACGTGCAACATGGTGAACACTAAAGACATCATGCTAAGTGAAACAGGTCAGTCAGAAAAGAAAAAGATACTACATGGTTCCACCTATGAGAGCAGTCAAATTCACCGAGGCAGAAAGAACAATGGTGGTTGTCAGGGGCCATGAGAGCAGAGAAAATAGAGTCAGTGTTCAGTGAGCACAGAGCCTCATTTGGGAAGATGAAAAAACATTAAGATAGATGGTAGTGATGTTTAAACACCACTGTGAACATACTAAACATCAATGAATTATGTATGAAAATGATTAAGATGAACAATTACAGACTGTCTAAACTTTCTCATGATGAAAAATAACTGACTATTAACCAGAATCCCAGTCGTAAATCACAGTTGTGATTGATGCATCCATGCATTTTTCCTGATTAAATTTTAACTGATTAGTTCAAAGAGCAGAAAAATTAAACACAGTACATGAAAGAGTCTGAAAACACTACTAGGCATTTTAGAGCTAGAAATAAATGTATTTTAAAAAATACAGACAGACTTGCTGACCTAATTATATAGTTTACACATGCAATGTACAAGTGTATGATAAATGCCAAATAACATGTTTTTTTTAAAAAAAAAACATTTATTTTTATTTATGCATACAAGAACTGGAGTCTTGTCCAGAGGTGCAGGATCTACTGAAACACACTGCTGAGGGGAGCAGTGGGGAGACACGTCGGTCAGCTCCCTGGATGGGAATCGAACTCACGCTGCAATGGCTGGTGATAGCCTGATAGCACTGAGACTTTAACCCCTAGGCCACCAGGGAGGTCCCCAAATAACATGCTATGTTAAAATAATAAAAGCGAGACATGATACAAATCTGAGCTCCTTATTTTTATCCTCAATGTATCTTTGTCTTCGCCCTGTGCAAACATGTTTAACTCCTGAGTGCCTCTTCCCCCTGGGCTCCTTCAACTGTCCCCACTCCCGCTGGCAGCTGTCCCTAATCCCACTGACGAGCAGGACAGGTTAGGAGGCACAGAGCCTGATCACTGAGCAAACCCCACATCCTTAAGATTTGCCCAGAATGAGAATTCAAATGGAAAAGGGAAAGTTACTGGGCCTCCCCGGTGGCGCAGCGGTTGAGCGCTGGGTTGCGAAGCTGCCCGTGGCCTCTGCGGCGTCGGTTCGATCCCCGGCTGCTCCCCGGCCACCAGAGGAGGGTCCCACATGGCGCGCAGACCTCTCCTGCTGCCCGCTGCTCCCCTCAGCAGTGTACTTCGGTCCTTCTGCCTGCTCTGCTCCCCACTCTGGCTCTGGTGGGTTCTCTCACCCTCCCGCGCTTCTGACTGTACCCAGTGCATGTATAAACAAACAAACAAACAAACAAACAAATAAATAAATAAATAAATGCCTCTATTAAAAAAAAAAAAAAAAAAAAAAGAAAAGGGAAAGTTACTGTATTTGCTGTGAGCACCAATGCAGACATTATGTAATACTCAAGAACAAAGAAAGCAGCAGAACATTCATTAGACCACATTAAGGGAAAGAGAGCGAGGAGTTCAGGAGAAAGCCCCTCTTGTGGTTTGAACCACTAGCTAGTAGGAAGCAGTACTGTATGTAAGGAGGGAAAGGCGTTTTCATTTTCCATCTGTTGAGCTGAGGTTCCTTCTGGACAGGTACAGAGAAGCACTCAATAGGGAGGTACAGCTGTGAAGGTAAAGCTGGGGAGCGGGGCCCCTCCCTGATGGCCTAGAGGTTAAGTGTCAGCGTTATTGTAACAGGGTGGTCCCCAGGAAAGGGGGAGGTTCCCTGCCCCACCCCAGGAAGGGTGGAGCTGAGCAGGAAGAGAAGAAGCTGCAGAAGAGACTGAGGAAGGAAGCAGGATGGAGCCAGAAGGAGCCCTGGAGGAGGCACATGGAACCTAGAGACACGTGAAGAAACTGGGCTTGTCTTTTGGTCGTGGACTGGGTGACACAGATGTGGGTGAGACCCGTGGGGAGGTGACCATGGCAGCTTTAATCTTGATGTTGATTTTGCTCTTTTCCTTCCGGGATTGTCTGGTTGTTTCTGACCCTTTTCTGTGGGTCCCCACTGGAAGATGCTTTAGACTTATGGCAGGCTTTGGGGCCTTGTTCTGGGCCAATCCCATATGGATGGACTTTTACCCACGAGGGGACGGGTAACTTTGGGTGCTTCATTTAGAAACTAGACTCTTTGCCTTACCTGTATTGTTTCCTAATTGTATTAAAGTTCCTTCCCATTTAAGTCTCATATGTTTTGTGTTGATGCGGCGGATGGCAGAACCCATGTAGAATAGGCAGGTGTGCGAGGTTTGGGCTGCCCCTCTCCCTGCCCTATAACATTATCACCACTATGGCCTGAATTCGATCCCTGGCTAGGGAGCTGACCCACATGGTATAGCAGACCTCTCCTTTCTCCCCACTGCTCTCCTCAGCAGTGTACTTGGGTCAATCCGCCTGTTCTGCTACCCTGTCTCTGGTGAATCCTCTCACTCCTACCCCCACACCTCTGGCCTGCACCCCAGTTCTTCTACATGAAAAAAAAAAAGAAAAGAAAAGTTGGGGAGGGAGCCCAACCTAAAGGGAAACACTTGGGACTGCAAAGCATAGAGGGTGATCAGTCAGGGAGAAGCGCAGTGTGAGCAAGGAGCCCAGACCTGGACTCTAGGATGAGCTCTGGGCGCAGGAGCAGAAGACCACAAGAATTGAGGGAAACAAGACATCATCAGACAGGCAGAGACAGAAGCTAAAGGAGAAGTACTTGCAGATGATGAAGCACACAAAGTGGAGCAAAGTGGAGACAACAGTCACTGATGTAGCTTGGGCTGATGCTGTGCTTTAAGAAACACGGAGTAGGTGAAGGTACAAACCTGCACTGGAAACAATCGCTCTAAAACATAGCGGAGCAATCTCCTGCACAACACGCATATACAGACTGGCTGAGAACGGCACAGGTAGATTTCAGAACCAGGGGTTGAGCCAAGCCTCAGATATTCCAAGTTTGCTCCCATCTGCTCCCTGTATCAACCATGGCCTTCCAAAAGTTGCCTGAAGCAGTATGTTCCGTCAGTCTGCCTGTTCTGTTCCCCACTCTGGCTCTGGTGAATTTTCTCACCCTTCCGCGCTTCTGACTTGTATAAATAAATAAAAATAAATCTTTAAAAAAAAATCAAAAGTTGCCTGAGATCACAGTATTTTAGCAATACTAAAAAACCCTTACCAAGTTGTGCTTTAGCTTCAGAAAATCATTATTACCACAAAGTGATGGGAGGGTTTATTTTCAGACTATAATGAGACACTGCATGTGAAGACGGAGACACTGTTTTTTCACACTTCTGTGTCTGCAAGTGTCCCTGTCCCCTGAAAATGCAGCATGCTGTCTTCTAAGGATCTGTTCTGATCAGGAAACAAACATGTCTGACCTGCCCTGGCATCAGAAAGACCAGCCTCCAATGTGTGTGTACCCTGGACTAGGGATGAGCTGACTATCTCTGTAAGCCACATTCATCTTCTTTATGTGTATTTACTGAAGCAGAATTTTACATTTTTCCAATTTAATATATGAATCTTCATAAAAAACAAACTAAGAAAAAAACCAAATTAATAACTCACCAAAGATTTTTTCATTGCCTGCTGCTCTCAGAAATACATACAGGACTCTGGAAATGGAGCAGGGAGAGAAGGCAAATGAGTTTAACTTCTTGTACATCATCAGCTTGTGTAGATACCTGAGGCTGGTCTATTAGAAGCACAGGCTTAGCCAACAGCCCACACAAACCACCAAAACAGCCCATGAAGTCATCTTATACCAGTCAGCTCAGAAAAGGCATCTGAGGACCACAGCCTTATTTGTGATCCAAGCAACTGGAGCAGAGGAAGTAACCAACTAAACCCAACCCAAAATGGTAACCATAGATCTTTCAGAAAAACAAATAGATGTGCTGGTTTTTTTGTTTGTTTGTTTTTTTTAAAGCTTGGAAATGTTAGTGATCTAAATCCCCATACTAATTTGGGGATTTGTGTGTAACAAATTATGTGAGGGAATTACATTCCAAACACAATTAACAAAACTTCACACCCACATGCAGAAATTTTGAGAAACAACAAGTTTTTCAGTGAAGTTGCTGGAACTAAGAGACCATGTACTAATCATACTAAGCAACTGCCCACAGATCAGAATACATAGTCAATCTAACCTTCCAGTTTTAAATAGAGAAGAGACTTAGGTGATCATTTTCAAGATTATTACATTAGGTGGGAAACAGTTATATCATGAACCCCTTGAGTTTACATAATTTACATAACTCACTGAAAAATTTGGGGCTAAAGGATAGGCATGTTTAAAGAAAGACCTTCTAAAACATGTTTGCAAAAAATGATGTCAAGAACAAACATGTGTCAGGTATACAAACCCTGTGACCCTGGCATGTCTCCTAAGGCCTCAAATCATGTTCGTTGTTTTTTAAATCTTTATAAAGCAGAAATACCTGGACAAAGCCACCCAAAACCACCAGGAAGATAATTCACAGCAGAACAAGAGTTAATACCAAACTGGAGATAGTTTGGAGCGGTCAGGTCCTGGAAACACTGAGGGAGAATAAAGAAATAAGCGCCTACTTAATAAAGAATGGCCACAGGTTCTTAGCTGTGACAGGTTCCTTGTCAAGCCAGACCACGCCCTCTTAAGACCCTGCCCACAAAACTTTTCCTTGCACTTTGCCTACTCCTCTAAGCCCAGCTCAAGTCTCCTGAGGGCTGGACCAAACTTCCACTATCACAAAGTCGTTCACAGCTTGTGGAGGAGATAATATTACCTAAATCATGTTCACACTGGGCAGATTATCAATAACTGCTTGACAATGCAAAGCGAGGACCTCTCCAGAATTTCTACGATTCTTCTGCGCCTGCTCTCTTAAGCACTATCTAGAGGCTTCAGGCCACAGAGATGTTCTCCAAGCAGCTTATCCCAACGTCTGAACTGCCCTTTCTCACGTCCTAACAGCCACCTGTCCAAAGAAAGCAGAACACCATCCAGACACCAAATATCCCGCCTAGAACTGAAGGTGCCTGGAAACAGGTCTTGCACAAACTCTGAAAAAGGAAATCAGGGGGTGTGAGGCAGCCACACCGTGCATGAGGGGTCCTCACACTTCACCTCCTGAGGCGATACCCCCAAATCACATGAACACAAGTGCCAGTAGCAAGCGCAGGTCCGCACACACACAGCGATCTCCGCAGGAATCCTGCCATCTCCCCAGTTACGAGCGCGCTGATTTACAGCGGCCGGACCTGCAGGCCCGGCGGGTCCCCCCCGGGCCAAGGACGCTCCCCGGCGGAGCAGACCCCCAACTGCAGGCGCCCACCGGCACCTCGCTCGCTGCAGACCCACGCCGCCTCGCAGGCGTCCCTGCCTTCTTGGACTGCAATCTTCGGCACCACCGGCCGGCTGCAGACGCTGCAGCGGGCACGTCCAGCACTCGAGCCGCGCCGAGCGCCTTCGGAGCAAGTCCATCAGCAAAAGCGCAGCAAGGGCCGGCCTGCCCCGCCCGCCCGCGGGCCCAAGGTCCCACCGCCTCCCTGGCGCGCCGGCTCCCGCCACACAGCCGCGCGCAGGCCCCTCCCGCCCCGGCCCGCTCCCTCCCGCCCCGTTTCCGAGCGCCGGGGGCGGCTCCCTCCACCGCCCCCTACACACACCTTCGGGACGCGGACCCCGCGGAAGCCCGGCCGCGGCCAGCGCAGCGGCGCCGAAAGATGGCGGAGCAGGGCGGGGGCGGGCCGCGCCTGCGCAGAGGGAAGCGGGAAGGCGCCCGCCCAGGCTTTCTTACGGGCCCCACCCGGCAGCACGGACTACATCTCCCACAAGCCTCTGCGCCGCCGGCCCGCGGTGGGGACGCTTTGTGCGTCGCGGGTGGCCGCCCCCGGCCCCGCCGCCTGAAGGGATGGAGGGAGACGGGGGCCGACGGGCGCGTCCGCGGCGGCTTGGAAGACGAAGGGTTACACCTCGCCCAGGGCAGCGTGGCAGACGAGGGGATTTTTTTTCCCCCCAAGAAGGCGAGTTTCCGGACTCACTTCTTCGCTGCTCCTAGGACCATTAGCTAAGAGCGGGAGAGCAGCGAAGCTCCGAAATCAGTGGAGCCGCCCTCGGGGACTAGATGGAAGGCCCGTGGTGCGGCTGATGAGGCCCGTTGGAGTGGAAGGACTTGCCCCAACCCCCGGCCCCGCGAGAGTCCCGCCCACGGGGTCTCTGCCCTCTCACCTCTGTCCACGTGACACCTGCCGGGCTTCTCTCCCCATAGACACCCCGGGTCCTCCAGCTCCACTGCCAGGAGCAGGAAGGGGTGCCTCAGAGATGAGAGACTCCCCGTGTTTCTCAGCGCCCCCATTCTGGTAGGGGTGACAGTAAGGGGCATCAGCTCCCCCCCTAAAGACCTCCAGGTGAAGGGCTCCCGCATCACAGGGCCCGACGCGGGGTGATGCCGTGCTCTCCCTTGGTGGGGTCCCATTGGATTGATAGGCTATCAATTAAATGTCAGATACGGGTATGTGTGTGCGTGTGCTTTTGACTGAGCCCAACTGCCCTCTGAAGCCTCTTGGTATGCTGGGAGCGCGATATTGTTCACCACCTGACCCCAATACTGTTACAGATAAGGACCTAAATCTGCAAGGTTGGAACTTACCCAAGAGAAGCAGATAGGAGCCCCACCCGGACCCCCTTGGGGAGACCTCAGAGAAAAGGACCTGGCCCCTTTGCAGGAAGCATTCTGCAGGGGTGCAAGCAAGAATCTGCCTGGGCTCACGGGTCAAAGAGCTAACAAGGCCAGTGGTGGCGGCGCCACGTCCCCTGTGGTGGCAGGAGCGCGATCTGTTGGGCTTTGGAGCGGCTCCAGTAACTATGGCCTTTACCCTGTACTCGTTGCTGCAGGCGGCCCTGCTCTGTGTCAATGCCACTGCCGTGCTCCACGAAGAAGGCTTCCTTAAAAACAGTGGCTGGGGAAGAGACCAGGGAATTGGCAGATTCAGAGAGGAGACAGGAATTAAGCCTCAGCTAATGAACCTTATTCAATCTGTAAGAACTGTGATGAGAGTGCCATTGATCATAGTAAACTCAGTTGTAATTTTATTACTTTTATTATTTGGGTGAAGATCAGTAGGAGAAAGGGAGACTCAGGAGAAGAGATGCCAACAGAAGTTACTACTTCCATCATGATTGGAATGTACACATTTTTTTTTTTTTTTAAGATTTCTTTATCGTTATACAAGTGCTAGGGTACAGGCCGGAGGTGCAGGAGGGTGAGAGGATTCACCAGAGACAGAGCAGGGAGCAGACTGACCAAAGTACACTGCTGAGGAGAGCAGCGGGCACGACAGGAAAGGTCTGCCACGCCATGTGGGAATGTTCCTGGCCAGCCTGGAATCCAACTGGTGCTGCAAAGGCTATGGACAGCTTCACAGCGTTGCGCTCAATCCCCTGTGCCACCGGGGAGACCCAGAACATACACATCTTAACTGGTCATCCTTGTATTTGAAAAAAATGTAAAACTGACAATAAAACAAGAGTCCCTAAAAAAACAAAAAAAACAAAACAACACGTAAGAAGCAGCTGAGGTGAGGTGAAGCCCTTCACCAGGGAAAGGGATGAGGTGAAATTAGGTGGAGAAATAGCAGGGACCAGGCTGGAGAAGCTGGCTCAGTTGAGGCAGCAAAGAGCTTTAGGAAGCCCTTCCTCTCCCCAGTCTATGCACAAAGGCCCCTGCTGGGTTAAGTTGGGAGATGTCTCACCATCAGCCCCCAGGATGATTCTGAGGAATCAGGAGGATTCCACAGGCCAGCACAAGGACCCAGAGCTCTGCCCAAAATGCACAGTCCTCCTCCTGCTCACCTGCCACACCTGCTTCCTGGGCGAGCCATTGAAATCACTCAGTTCCCTGGTGGCGCAGGGGTGAAGTTTCAGTGCTATCAAGCTATAACCAGCCATTGCGGCCTGTGTTCGATTCTGGCCAGGGAGCTGATCCACATGGCGCAGCAGACCTCTCCTGTCTCCTCGCTGCTCCCCTCAGCAGTGTATCTCAGTAGATCTGCCTGTTCTGCTCCCCACTCTGTCTCTGGTGAGTCCTCTCACCCCTGCACCTATGGCCTACACCCCACTTCTTCTATGATAAATAAATAAATCTTAAATGAAACTGATGTCTGTGAAAATCAACACACAGATGCTGAGAGCGGTTTTGCTCATCACTTGCCCAAGCTTGCAAGAATCAAATGTCCTTCAGTACTTGATGGATGTCCTGGGGTACAACCAGTCAATGCGATGGTACTCAGTGGTCAAAAGAAAGGACTTTTTAACCCATTAAGTGATATGAAGCTATCTTGAATAAGTGAAACACGTCAATCTAAAAAGACTACATGATCCATGATCCTAAATATAAAACACTCCATAAAAGGCACAACTATGGACACAGTAAAATACCAGCGGTTGCCAGCGGCCATGCCCTAATGAAGACGAAGAGAACACAGATCTTTTAGGGCAGTGAACCTACTCCGTGGGGCCATCGGGTTATGTATCATAAATTATTCCAATTCCAAGGAAAGCACAATACCAGCAGCGATTCACAATGTAAAGTGTGGAATCTGGGAGGAAAAGAAGAGTCATTGTTGATTGCCAAACTGTAACACATATACTGCTAGAAATGGGCCATGTGGTAATTCAATGACTCTCACCCACAGCCAAAGAAACAACCCAGGAGTCAAAGTCTCTAGAATCTCGGTCCATTGTAAACGTTGCAAATCTAGGAGTCTCATCTGTGAAGAGACTCCAAACATCCCCACAAAAACAACTGCCACATGTGACTAATCCACACACAGTTGCCAACTATTTCGGCTGGAATCGGGCTTCTTGCTGGTGATTAAAGCGCTCATCAAAGATGCCCGAGTGAAGTTCCGGTACAACACCTCACCAGGATGTTTCCTGGGGAGCAGGAACTCACAGGCAGACCGGCCACGTCCGCCTGGCTTCCTGGGCTCCTTGGCCCATCAATCTTGGACTCCAGCAAGCTGCTCTGGAAGCTCCCTACATGTAGGGAGCACGTAAACTGTAAACGTCACTTGCATCCCTATCAGATACCAGCTTTTCGCAGACGCAGAGGGCGCACAGCAGACGCTGGTAGAAACATATATTCTTATCGGACACCAGCTGTCCGAGGATGAGAGAAAGTAAGTATTTTTTTTTTTTTTTTTTTTGTTTAGAGAAAGAAAAGTTTATTGAGGAGAAAAAGAACAGAAATAAAGTGGGACTCCCAGGCCAGGAAACCAGGCCTGGGAGGGGCAAGGAAGCCCAGTATTTTTTGTTTTGATAATTTGCAGTGAAGAAAATATTTTGGTGAAAGTAAGATGCAAATATTTATGTACATATATTGGGTGTAAATATGTTATGGAAAATATGTTGAGAAAAATAAATGATGTTACCTAGTTTATAAAGTATATAAACTGAGCGATCGCAAAGTACTTCAGCTTCGAGGTGAGCTCAAGGTCAGCCCGTTATACTGAGAGCCGCCTTGCCCCTTCGAGATCCACCGGAGAAGACCTGGAACATTGTTCATGGGCTGCGGCCGCAGGGCGTCCCTGCAAAGCCGAGACCGAATTCGAGCAGCCGAGTTCAAGAGACTGAACGCAAACTGCCGAATCACGGACGACTCTTCCCTGGCAACTAAAAGTCACCTTGCGGTAAGCGATCGCTCGAGGGACACAGCGACAGGGTAGTGCTAGGCATGGTGTCTGTGTGCGACACGCGTGAATAAAGCAGATTGAAAGGCACCGTTTATGGTTGGAGCTTTCTTAGCGGCACCGACCCGGAGGAAGCCCGCCCAGGTGGTCCGCTTCCCAGCTCGCGACAGGTACACACTCTCGGCTCTGGCACTGCCATCTTTGGAGGAAGCAATGGGGCTGTCCGGACCTGTGGCCCAACATTCCAATCACGGCTCTGGGCCCTCGAGGCGCCGGGCTCACACCTGCGCTCAGGCTCAGCACCCCAACAGCCAAGCACGTCTCTACTCCCATCAGGCCTGGGGACCCCAAGGACCAGGATCCTTCCTCTGCTTCGTCCTCCCACCTATAATCACGGGTCCCCTCCCACTCTCCCCCCTCCGCCGATTTCACAGCTCTTTACGTCACGTGACCCAGGCTCTCCCTTCACCTCCACACCTGCACTCAGGTGCCTCACCTGGTGTCCTGGACGTCCTGGGGTACAACCAGTCAATGCGATGGTACTCCATTAAGGGATGTGAAGCCACGCGAAGACACGAACCCCCTTCCCCTCCCGCTCCTCCAGTTTCCGGGCGCCCCGGGGTCGCGCCCTCCCACCGCTCCCCACTCACCTCAGAGTCACCGACCACGACCACGTGCGGAGACCGAGGCGAGGCAGCCCCGGGCGAGGGCGGAAGTGGGCGGGGGAGCAGGGCCGCACCTGCGCAGTAGGAACACAGACCCTCTACCCGGAACTCCCCGCGGGAACGGCCGCTCACCCGGGGGACTACGTTTCCCAGGAGCCTTTGCGGCAGCCGCCCCCAGCCAGTGGAGAGCGCGGCGCTCTTTCCGACGGGCCGCCTCGTCAGGAGCATCAACGTGGTGGCGGGACACGGGGGGCCGGAGGGCGGGCCCGCTGGGAATTAGATGAGGGATTAAACGAAGCTGGCGGAGAAGGAGGGGAGGTTGTTTTTGTGCCGAGAAGCGAGCGTGTCAGGCCCCTTCCCTCCCGCTCCCGCTGCCCTGGGCGGGGAGAGCAGCTCACAGCGTGACTCCGCGACGCCCCTGGAGAGTTCGTGCGGGGCGCCGCCCTCGCCCGGGCTTCTGCCTCTGAAGGAAGGTGGAATCGGGCCAGTTGGAGTCCACCCTCGCTCGCCCTCTCCCCTGCTGCTTGGGGAGGGCGTAGGAAGGCTTGATTCTCACTGGTGCTTGCGCACCGGCACGCCCCCGCCCCCCGCGCAGTGATGCTGAGCACGCCCTCGCATGGACGGACGTCCAGGCTACTAGAGGCCAGAGCAGCGGTGGACAAGGGTGGGGGATGGGGGCTGGGCCCAGTGGACTAACATGGATACTGCCTGCATGAAGCACTGGGCTGAGGGGTGCCATGGCACCAGGGTCCTGGGACTCTTCTAGGACCTTCTCTTAGTTACTGAGGTGTTAGTTGCTATGACAGTTAAACTTCCGTTTCTAATTCTTAAAAGGCCAGAGTGTGGAATGCTCTTAGGTTCACCCGATTCCCAGGGAAATGATCAGCACCCTCCCATCATGCCAAACCCCTTGCACAAATGCCTGCGCTTCGAGGTCTTTTCTCATCTATTTACTTATTTCGTGACTTCATTTTATTTGTGAACTCACCCTTTGTTCAGGCTGTAAAAGGGGAAAAGTGAATCATCACTCATCACGAACACGACGCAAAATACAAGTACTATAAACCATTTAATTTTCTTACAGTTCTAATTTCAGTATATCATACCTGAACATACTTCTTCATCCATGAATAACTAACATTCTTTAAATTTCAGCGCAGTCATTTTATCATGGCCAAGTCACTAGTTGCTAAAAGGTGGGTCATATTAACACATTATTTAAAAAACAAAACTCAGAATAAAGAGAAATCCTAAGGACAAATGTTATTGCGAACTTTCATATTTATTTATATTTAAAGATTTATTTATTTATGCATAGAAGAACTGGGATGCAGGCCAGAGGTGCGAGGGATGAGAGGATTCACCAGAGACAGAGTGGGGAGCAGAACAAGCGTTATCTACTGAAATACACTGCTAAGGGGAGCAGCAGACAAGAAAGGAGAGGTCTGCTGCACCATTATGTGGGTTAGCTCCCTGGCTGGGGATCGAACTCAGGCCACAGTGGGGATAGCACTGAGACTCAACCCCTAGGCCACCAGGGAGGCCCGCGAACTTTCATATTTAATAAGAAATTTAAGGGGAAAGAGTGACAAATAAGGTTAAAAAAATAAACAACCCAACGGTACATGAATTTACTGCTTGAATAAATGCATCTCAAGTGAGTCTTGCAGAGGGTGTTCGGAAGGGAGGTCAGTGAGGTGCTGCCTGGAAACCAGACCTGTAGGCTGAGCACCACGTGACGCTGACAGGTGTGGAAATGCATGCTTGTCACCAGAAACACCACAAGGGGCTCGGTGTGCTGGGAACAGCTTGTGTGTGTGTGTTTACGTCAAGAGTATGGTGAGAGGAGATGGGGAGCCCTACAAGCTGTGAGGTGGCGGGGGAGATGAGGCTAGACATGGGACAGGAAGAGGAGAAGCAACACACAGGGGTACCGAGCGCGGCAGAGGCACAGCCTGGAGCCCAGCCCTGGTCCCCTGAACGCAGCCCCACAGTCCCACGTCTACTTACTAGGCTGCTGCAGGGGTGTCCCCAAGAGGGCTGGGCTCTGACACCCCTCCCTGCTTTGTCATGCCAGGGACCTTCTAGGTTTGAAGACACGTGTGAAATGTCTGAGGGCGATGGGGAGTCCTGCAGAGGGAACTGGGCTCGTGTGATGGTGCAGGGCTCCCCCGACCATGCCCTGACTCCGTGACCAGTATTCATGACACTGGACATCGTTCTGAGGCCAAGGAACTGCCCCTTTTCTGACCTCAGGTCCTATCTGCCTCCCTCCCCCAATCTGAGGGTGAGTGTTCCCCAAACACCCTCAGGACACCCATGACAGGCTATTCCCCCAGATAACAGACTGCTGTCACCTCACACCCTCACTCAGCTCAAATATTCCCTTCTGAGACCTTCCCGAGTCATCCGACTGACAGAGGCGTCACTCCCACCTGTTACCTGCAGTTTAACACCCTTCCTGAGGTTTAACAGCCCTGATATCCCTCCCTGTCCACTGGTGTCCTCCGCATCCTCACGGCCACGCTTTATCAACTCAAAGTCTGTGGTGCTCATGGGGAGTGTGGGAGCATGAGGGGAGCCCAACCCTTGGGGCTGTGACCAAGGACAAACCCAGCCCCTGAGGGTGCAAGGGGGTGCCTGATATGTGATCCTGAAACCATAGCTGAAAGATACTTGAGAAGAAAACAAAGTACTTGTAGTGACGCTGTCTCAGCTGTCCCCTCCCTGCACAAGCCTGCTCTCGCCAGAGCCGAGAAGCCTTTTCAGACCTGGTGAGATTAGCTTGCCTCCCCCTGGGGCTTTCCCAAGTTGCCAGAAATCACAAAGCTCCATCAATAACAGGAGACCCCACGGGAGCTGCCCTCTCACCTCTGCCCACACCCAACTCTTGCCAGGCTCATGCTGGGGCATCTTTTCCGGCAGACCTTGGGGTCCTCTAGCTCTTCAGCCGGGAGCAGGAAGGGGAGGCTCAAGTAAGAGCTGCCCAGGGGCTTACTCAGCCATGCAGGTAATATAACCAACACACACCCCAAGGATGAGACACCTCCTCAGTAGCACACACCACAGGGAAGCCAAGGCCGAACCAAAGGCAGGGGGTGCAGGTGGTACCTCTCCATCTACCCTGGGCTGCCGCTCCTGGCCTGGGTGCTCGCATGGGTTCCCAAGCCAGAGCCCCACCCTCCAAGTAGCCAACGGTTGGAACCAACAGGCGGATGCCGAGGTCCACATGATTTCTACGAATATAAACCCTAAAGTGGATGCAGGCTTACCTGTCACCATCCAAAGTGACAACGGAGGAAAGCGGCCCTACAAGTTAAAAAAAAATAGGAGGCCCTGGGCCCGGGGTCCTGTTGGAGCCCCCACTTTGGCCAGATACTTTCCATGGAACCTATCAATGGACACCTGAACCAGGCAACGGCATTTCTATCTATTTACAACACCACCTCACTTACCACCCACGTGGGCACAATCAGAGACCGAAACGTCGACCTCGCAGCACCGAGCCTCTCAGTCACTGAAAGGGGCACCTTGGTCTGAGGACAGAACCACAGCCTTGTGAGCTGCGCACCCGCACAACCCTCCCCCACGCACACATCACCCGCCAATCCAGCTCCCAGGCCCAGCACAGCCTCCAAGGCACAGAGGCTCTGCCTCCTCGGGAGGCCATGGAGCCTCCACAGCAGGGCTCACACACGTGAGCGGGTGTCCACACAGCAATGACACCCTGGTCTCACAACTGGATGACGATCCCTGTACCCAAGCCACCTTGTACTGGACCCTCTATCCCTCCCGGGGACGCCGTGGGTGATGCTAAGCTGCTGGCAGCCCCAGGCAAGGGCCGCTTCCCTCCGTGACTCTGAGGAATGCTGGCAGTTTCCTGGGCCCCATTCACCTGGTGCGTGACCCTCACCTCCAGCTTGCTCTAAGCCGGACACGGTCGCACTCCCAGGCCTAGAGATCGGGTAGGACTCACAGCTGTCGGTGCCGATCCAAGGATCAATGGAGACTGAATTCTGAGGAAGACTGCGACCTCTTATGAGACAAGTCCTCAAATCCCTGGGGAAAGATAACACAGTGTGTCGTCTCCCCTACTTCCCCTCCAAGCGTTTCCTGAGGAGCTCCTACCAGGAGTTACCTCTGTGACACAACTGCCATTTACCAGCTACACATAAAGACTGGAACTTTCCATGGACTTTACTATACTATTAGTTCGCACTCACGTGAACAGTGAAACCTACCACCTCAGCCTAGAAATATATTATTCTCAAAACATACACTATTTCCTTGAAAACTCCACCAAGATGTTACAAACCTGGAATTTTCAGACCTGCTCCCTTGGCTAATGCCACATAAACTGGAAACTTACAGGCCAGTCCGTAGGGAATTACAGTTGTACTTGAGTTGCTCATTTGGCCTCTCATAAGAAAACACATAGGGCATCTTCAGCGCTTCTCTAGAACAGTCCGCTCAGGCCACTCAATAACCCAAACACTCCAGCTGAAACTTGATACACTATGTCAACTATCTTTTCGCCTCTTTTTGAGTTTCCATCAATACACGCGATAAAACATGACAGAAGTTCTTTGCTCCAGGAATTTTACACACAAGTGTAGGTAACTGTTCGCAGAATGTCCCATTCAAAAACTGCCTGAAACGTGATGGTTAAGGACATCACACATGGAAGGGCCCAAGGAGAAAATATAGTTTCACCCAGGAAAGCACCCATGGAGACTGCTGGGTCAAGTGCGGAAGAGGCTGCTCTTCCCAATCAATCCCTCCTTTCTGAAAACACTGCATGTTCATCCCATGGATTCCTAGGAAAACCAGGAGTGTCATTCAGGAAAACGAGGTATGAAAAATATGAGAATGGAGTTTTCTTTGTGACCTGGCTTGGAAAGTACTGTTTGTTTTTATAGCCACAGTTAAGTTATAGAAACCCAACATAGAATTCCATGTCGTATCAACAAATAATATGTTGTGAATATGCTGTCTCTCACACAGGATCAAACCCTGAGTGAGGTCTCAATGTTTAGTGAGGTGAGATTTCTGGTCGACAGATTTTCTACATCTTTACATTCCTAGGGTTTAAGTCGTTTGTGAATTCTATTATGTCTAGTAAGGTGTGACTTCTGGCAAAAGGTGTTTCCACACTCTTTACATTCAAAGGGTCTCTCTCCTGTATGAATTCTGTGATGTACAGTAAGGTCTGACCTATGGTAGAAAGTTTTCCTACATTCTTCACATTCATAGGGCTTCTCTCCTGTGTGAATTCTCTTATGGTAATTCAATTCAAACATCCAGTAAAAAGTTTTCCCACATTCTTCACATTCATAGCGTTTCTCTCCTGTGTGAATTGCCTGATGTCTACTGAGCTGGGACATCTGATAGAAAGTTTTGCTACATTCTCTACACTCATAGGGTCTCTCTCCTGTGTGAGCCCTCTGATGAACAGTGAGATTTGATTTGTAGCAGAAAGTTCTACTACATTCTTGGCATTCATAGGGCCTGAGTCCTGTGTGAATTCTCTGATGTAGAGTGTATGATGACTTCAGGCAGAATGATTTGTTACATTCTTTACATTCATAGGGTTTTTGTACTGTGTGCAAGCTCTGATGCATATCGAGTTGTGATTTCCAGTAGAACATTTTTTTACAATCTTTACATTCATAGCGTTTCTCTCCTGTGTGAATTCTTTGATGATTAATGAGTCCTGACTTCCGGTAGAAAATTTTCCCACATTCTTCACATTCATAGGGTTTCTCTTCTGTGTGAGATTTCTGATGTATCTTCAGATATGATTTATATGTGAATTTTTTCCCACATTCATTACATTGATAGGGTTTTTCTTTATTGTGACTTCTCTGGTGTACATTGAGGTCTGCCCTAAGGTAGTAAGATTTGTGACACTCTTTACATTCGTAGGGCCTCTCTCCTGTGTGAGTTCTCTGATGTCTAGTGAGGGTTGACTTCCACTTGTAAACTTTTTCACAATCTTTACACTCATAGCGCTTTGCTTGCTTGAGAATTCTCTGGTTGCTGAGGGTTGAATTCCCACAGGCTTGCCAACATTCATAAGATTTCTCACCTGGTTCTATGTTCTGATGCTCAGCCATAACAGAGAAGTTAAAGCAAGTCTTACCACATATATTCTCTTCAATTTTCTCCCTCAACTGACTTCTCTGATGTTCCGTGAGATGTAATAACTTGCTAAAATCATCACCACTTTGATTCCATTTATGGTGCTCATACTCAGAATCTGTCTGAAGAATCAATTGTGTTGGATCCTCAAAACAGATTTGCCCCCAATTGTTACATTCATAGTGAGTCTGATCTATGTGAGTCATCTCTTGAGTAAAGAGAGCTGACGTATCGCAGGCCTCCCCATACTCATTATATTCGCATGCAGCCTCTCCAATAAGGGCCCTCCCATGGGTAAATACCATCTCGTCCTTATAGAAGGTTTTGTCTTCTCTACTAAATACCACGGGCTGCTGCAAATCTAGCATCTTCTGATGAAAACTAGGATGCTCAGGCTCCCTATGGGATTCCACAGTTGTCTCCTCCCTCTCTGGACTCTCTCCGTCATTATTTTCTTCAGGGTCTACCGGGAGAAATATGTTCTTATATATAGCAAAGTGCTCAGTCACCACTCCTGAATCCTGTCCATCTTGTATAACCACTTTCATAATATGGTTTGGACTTAAATTCAGTGCTTCTTCCATATCAGGTTTCTCTTCAGTAGAGTCTTCGCTGGTAGTGTTGAAAGCATTCCACAAATGTCGGTCATCGTTTTCTTGATCAATGTCAGTAAGGTCACTCCCACACTCGATACCTGTAATGGGATAAAAAAAACAAAATGTACCAACACCACCTAAGCGTTTCTTGTGTAATGCTGATATACACAAGTTTCATTCTACTATACTGACAGTACCATAACATTAAGGATAAATGAGTAAATGGATAGACATGTAAGCGCTTTTCCCACAAAACTGCTGAAATTTCACTAACAGATATCTCTCTCCTTGCTTCCTTCCCTCCCTCACTCCCTCCTTTCTTTCTTTCTGCCTTTCTTTTTTTAAAGATTTACTTCTTTATGCACGTAAGAGGGGATACAGGCCAGAAGTGTGGGGCGGTGGGCGGGAGGTGAGAGGAAGACTGACTGAAATACACTACTGAGGGGAGCAGTAGGCGAGTCAGGAGAGTTCTGCTGCACCATGAGGGTAGCTCCCGAGCCAGGGATCGAACTCGTACTACAGTGGCTGTGGACAGCTTCATGGATTGAGCCACCAGGGAGACCCACTAACAGATTTCTAATGTCAAATCAAATGTAATGAAAGCCACCACACGCCCACCCCCCCCTCAAAAAAATCTAATTTCTATTTGTTTTCATTTCATCAGAAATAATTGCTTAAGACATACACCAATCCTCATAGATACCAGCTAAAACTTTCACCTGTCATCTCTAAAGCCAGTTCCTTTCCTCTACATTTAACAATAACTACATCTGGGCCTCCCTGGTGTAAAGAAAATGGTTAAGTCTCAGCACTATGGAGCAATCCAAAGTCACTGCAGCACGAGTTCAATCCCTGGCCAAGGAGGTGACCCACATGGTGCAGTAGACCTCTCCTGTTTCCCCGCTGCTCCCCTCAGCAGTGTATTTCAGTCAACCCACCTGTTCTGCTTCCCGCTCTGTCTCTGGTGAACCCTCTCACCCCCGCCATACCTCTAGTCTAAATCCCAGCTCTTACATGCATAAAAAAGTAAATCTTTAAAAAAAAAAGCAACTGGGCCTCCGTGGTGGCACAGGAGGTTGAGCACCGCACTGTGAAGCTGTCCACAGCCTCTGCAGCGCGGATTCGATCCTGGCCGGCCGGTAAGAATCCCACATGGCGAAGCAGACCTCTCCTGTCTCGCCCGCTGCTCCCCTCAGCAGCGTATTTCGTCATTCTCCCTGTTCTGTTCCCTGCTCTGTCTCCGGTGAATCCTCTCACCCTCCCGTGCATCTGGCCTGTACCCCGGTTCTTGTGTAAAAATAAATAAATTAAAAAAAAAAAAAAAAGCAACTACCTTTCTAACAATTACTGTCTCTTCTCTTTTATGTCCACTGAAGCTTTGAGAACGGCAAGATTTTTCTCAACCAGCCACTAACTTGATGTGGGGGAGGGCCATCGTCAATAGGAATGCTTGGGAAGGACTTTTCCTTGTACATTTATTTAGTTTTTCCTTTTTCTTGGGGAATGTGCAATGGCTAGTGTGGGTTTTTTCAAAGGCACAGGACATTCTTCCCACCCTAGACTAAAAGGGTTTTCTGCAATTCCTGATAAAACCCTTCACACTGGCTTCTGAACCCGCAGCAGGTAAAGGAAGCAGTGGGCGGTCACTCTGCAAAGCCGTCGCTTCCTGGCCTGAAGGGTCTACTTGCAATGCAAGCTGTGCCTACCATTGCTGCACCGCTTTCCCCACACCTTCTAAGGTCAGATTCCTGATTTTTTTTTTAAGATTTATTTATTGGGCCTCGCCGGTGGTGTAGGTGGTTGAGCACAGAATTGTGGGGTTGTCCGCAGCCTCTGCCACATGGGTTCGATCCTGGCCAGCGGTGGAGAGGCTCACATGGTGCAGCAGACCTCTCCTGTCTCGCCCGTTGCTCCCCTGAGCAGTGTATTTCAGTCAGTCTTCCTGTTCTGTCCCCCACTCTGTCTCTGGTGGGTCCTCTCACCCTCCCGCGTCTCTGGCCTGTACCCCGGTTCTTGTATGCATGAATAATTAAATCTTAAAAAAATTGATTAATTGATGCAAGTGTAAAAAAATAACAATAATACAAAACACAACAAAACAAAAACAGACAATTATCAATCGGAGACATCCTGCAGGGGAAGAGACGAGAGAGGAATTAAAGGGAAAGAGGGAAGAGCACAGGGGACTGAGGTGATGGTGCATGGGCGCACTGGTGAAGGAAATTCTATGGGGACTACAGCTGAGGGGGTGGTGGGAAGCAACTATTGTTTAAAAATGAACAATGATGGGCCTCCACGGTAGCACAGCGGGTTAAGCACAGCGCTGTGAAGCTGTCCGCAGCCTCTGCAGTGCAAGTTCGATTCCCGGCTGGCCAGGGAGATTCCCACATGGCGCAGCAGACCTCCCCTGTCTTGCCCGCTGCTCCCCTCAGCAGCGTATTTCAGCCATCTGCCTATTCCCTCCCCGCTCTATCTCTGGTGAATCCTTTCACCCTCCTGCGCCTCTGGCCTGTACCCAGCTCTTGTATAAAAATAAATAAATCTTTTTTTAAAAATAATCTACAAACCTAAGAAAAATTAAAACGAAGATGTAAAACATTAAAAAAAAGACTTATTTATTGATGCATACAAGAATTGGGGTACAGGTGAGAGGTGTTGGGGGTGAAAGGACTCACCAGCGACAGAGTGGGGAGCAGAAAAGTGGATCTACTGAAACCCACTAGTGAGGGGAGCAGCGGGGGGACAGGAGAGGTCTGCTGCGCCATGTGGGTCAGCTCCCTGGCTGGGGATTGAATTCGTGCTACAGTGGCTGCTGACAGTTCCCAGTGCTGAGACTCAACCCCTTGCACTATGAGAGAAGCCCAGATTCCTGGTATTTTTTACTTGACTTATTGTATAAGTGGCCCACTTGATAAATGACTGCACTTGAAGATTGCATTTTGTAGTTTAGACTTTCAGCTGTCTTCCACAGTTACACTGAAACTAGAGGCCCATTTACGTTTCTCATATGTTTTTTAAAAATGATTAACAACAAAAACAGTGTCTGAGGGCCTCCCCGGTGGCGCAGCGGTTGAGCGCTGGGTTGCGAAGCTGCCCGCGGCCTCTGTGGTGCCGGTTCGATCCCCAGCTGCTCCCCGGCCACCGGAGGAGGGTCCCACATGGCGCACAGACCTCTCCTGCCGCCCGCTGCTCCCCTCAGCAGTGTGCTTCAGTCCTTCTGCCTGCTCTGCTCCCTGCTCTGGCTCTGGTGAATTCTCTCACCCTCCCGCGCTTCTGACTGTACCCAGTGCATGTATAAACAAACAAATAAAATAAATAAATAAATAAAACATGCCTCTATTAAAAAAAAAAAAAAAAAAAACAGTGTCTGAGACCATGACCTAAAACCCTTGGCTCCTTCCCCCCTGTGCCTACGCAGGTGCCTTCATTTTCTTTACTACTTTTGCTAATAAACCTGCCCTTTTATTTATTTATTTTTTAAAGATTTACTTTTATTTATTTATGCATACAAGAACTGGGTGTAGGCCAGAGGTGTGGAGGGTGAGAGGACACACCAGAGACAGAGTGGGGAGCAGCAGGGAGACAGGAGAGGTCTGCTGCACTATATGGGTCAGCATCCTGGGCGGGGATTGAACTTGTGCTGCAGTGGCTGTTGATAGCCTCACAGCACTAAGACTTAACCCCTGTGCCACCAGGGAGGCCCTGAACCTGCCCTTTTAAACATAACCTTCAATAAATAAATAATAAAATAACAAACCCCTTGGCTCATGAGCGGATCAAGAAGGTGCGGTATATATAAGATATACAATAAAATACTACACAAGGAGCAATAAAAGATAAACTCTTGCCATCTGCAGCAACATGGATGGAGGTGGGATTATGCTAAGCAAAACAAGTCAGGAGAAAGACAAATACCAGATAGTGTAGCTTATAAGTGGATTAAAGAGAAACCAAACAAAGACACACTTTGAAACCAGCCCTTGAAAGCGGACTACAGATCTGAGGCATCCAAGAGGGGAGGGGAAGGGATAGAGAGAGGAGGAAGGTCCCACATGGCGCGCAGACCTCTCCTGCCGCCCGCTGCTCCCCTCAGCAGTGTACTTCGGTCCTTCTGCCTGCTCTGCTCCCCGCTCTAGCTCTGGTGAATTCTCTCACCCTCCCGCGCTTCTGACTGTACCCAGTGCATGTACAAACAAACAAATAAATACATAAATAAATAAAAATACATGCCTCTCTTTAAAAAAAAAAAAAAATGCATTAAAAAAAAGAGAGAGGAGGAAGCACGAGGGGGAGGGAGAGCACAATGGACTATGGTGGAGAACTATGGGTGCCTTGGTGGTGGGAGAGCTATGGTGAAAGCTGACACCTGACGGGCGAAATTCTGTACTGTCAAAATATTATCAAGGAGGGCCTCCCTGGTGGCCTAAGGGGTTAAGTCTCAGCGTTATCACTGCGATGGCCTGAATTCGATCCCTGGCCAAGGAGCTGACCCACATGACACAGCAGACCTCTCCTGTCTCCCCACTGTTCCCCTCAGCAGTGGATTTCAGTAGATCCGCCTGTTCTCCCCACTCTGTCTCTGGTGAACCCTCTCACTCCCTGCACCTCTGGCCTGCACCCAGAGATCTTCTACGCAAAAATAAACTAAAGTGTATATATACATATTTACAAGGATGTAAAACAATGGCACTCACTAATAAATTTAAAAAAAAAAAATTCTTGGCTCCACTGGGGCTGGAAGCACAACCTCAGTTTCTCCTCTCCTGCACAGACGCCCCCTTTCCTTGCGGAACTCTGTGTGGGCGCATCCTCAGCGCCCAGTTCTAAATGTTGTGGGCAACAATGCTCCTTGCTCCTACTCATTTTTTTCCTAAAATTTATTTATTTATGCATACAAGAACTGGGGTGTAAGCCAGACGTGCGGGGGGTGAGAGGACTCACCAGAGACAGAGTGGGGCTTGCTCCTACTCTTAACAGCTTTCAAGGCCACTTCCCTAATCCGACCGGTTCTCACTCCCTGGCTTCCTAATTCCCATCTGCGAAGGTGACGTGCTCCCCACACTCCAGACTCTGCCTGCAGCTGAACTTTACATGCCCAAGTGGAAACCTGATCTGAAACTTCAGATCTACAATGTAAACACTCAGTCTCCCTACAGTGCCCTCCACAGTGCCCTCCGAGTCAACAGTCTCAAAGAACTCACCTCCTTTTTCTCTCCCCCCCCCCAAGGTCAGCATTCTCTGTGCTTCTTATTTTACTATTTAGCAGTTATATTTCTGTCATTTGCCTCCCTCAATAGATAATAAACTACGAAAAACAGGGAGGACTTTTTAAAGGACGTTTCTTTGATTACTGCTTTATTTCTCCCCTCCCCAAAATATACCACCAGTTTCTAAAAGTTCCAATTAACATTCTGAAAGAACAAGCAACTCTGTGAATGATTGCCTGACTGTACAGTCCATGAACATGGAAGGGTTGAGCCCCTCAGAATCCAGTGACAGACCAAGACAGTGTTCTGAAGGTATGAAATAAGGATCAGATCTTGATTAAGTCTACGAAAACTTAAAGCCATTAAAAAATAAGGGGAGAGGGGACTCACATGTGACAGCTCTGTGTGGTCATTAAATGAGGAGTTTGTCTATTTGTGCAGACCCAGACCTAGGATGTGGATCTGGGGAAAGTCACTGAAGAAACAGCTCAGCAAGGCCAACAGCTGTTTCATGTTCCTCTTCCCCACCTCCCGGGCTCCCTGCCCAGGATGCAGTGACTGACCTGAGAGGCTCTCGTTTGCAGGTGCTTCCACAGTCCACGGCTCTGCTCCTTCCTCTAACTTGACCATCACCTCAGGTCTGGTCACGCAACACCCTGTTGTTGAGAAATATCTGCTTAAGAGTCACAGTCTTTGACAAATGACAACAGCCAAGCTTAAATTTTGTGTATGAAGGGCCAACCTGAACCATTTCTCAGAGAAGTGACCACTGACATTCTCCTTGGCCTGGAGTCATAAGCCTAAACGGCATTTATACACACACAGCTGTACATTCGCCAGTTAAGAAAACAGTGCTCGCCCTGGCATGGAAGGGAGTTTGGCTCACCCAGGGACGCCAGGCTCCCGTAGGTCTCCAGCATCACGTCCCTGTAGAGGGTCCTCTGAGTGTCGTCCAGGAACTGCCACTCCTCCCAGGTGAAGCTCACGGCCACGTCCTCAAAGGTCACCATCTCCTCAAATGGCACCATCTCAGGTAGCGAGCTCATTCTGAAAACCTGGATATCTGGTAGTTGAATCCTCTAGGCGTGTTTTAATAACATAGGATGCATCAATTCTATGCTGTGAGTTAGATTATCACAGTGGAAATACCCTACACTCTGTATTAGCTCATTATACTGCAAAATAGCACTAGAGTTTTCTTCATAAGGACAAATGATGTCCTTGTTTGTAAGAATAAAAGGATTAATAAATTGTGCTAATGCGAGGACCTTACAATCCTGTGTAGAAACATAAACAAATATATGCCATAATGTGCAAAAGGATTTGCCAAAAACATATAGTCATTGCAGACTCAGGTAAAAAAAGGAAAAAAAAAAAACCAGCACGTTTACTATGAGGGGGATATCACTGAAGACCCAAGACGTTCAGCTCCACACGTTCTTACAAATATGTGGCAACAGCAGAACTGAAGAGGTGACAAAAAGAGCAGCTGGCAGGAGAATGCAGCTGACAAGGTAACTCTCCAGGTGAGGGGCTGCTGGGCTGTGAGGAGAGACAAGTCAGGTCAAGACATTCCAAGAACGGTTAGGTCATTTTGCAGGTACATATGTAGCGTAAGCCAGGCAATAAAAAAGCCTTTAAATGACTTCCAGGTTTTAAATGAACTGAAAATTAATGCACACATGTAACCCAGTATTCCTTCCTATTACCTAAAAGGCTGCTTGTTTTCCCTGCAGAGTGAACACAAGCCATTTACTGAAACATGATATGGAAATAACTCTGGGCCAATAAAAAAGGGAAACCACTTGACTGGATCTGCACAGTCAATCCCCACAGGAGACAGACAAGGGGTTCGGGGGAGTCAGAGAAGAAACAAATGATGAACACCTGTTTTTGAGGAAATAGTGTTACAACAGGAGGTAATGGTGAAATAAGTTTCAAAAAGAGGAACAGACCTAGGTAATAATTTGTGGGCAGGGTAAAGGGAGGTTTTACTCCCACGCAGTGTGTTTGACCACAGAGGCAGATATGGGCGCTGCAAAGGAAAGCTGGGAAAAGGGACCGGAGCGTGAGGGCCAGAGGCCGGCTCATCTTGCACACACTAAGTCTGCGGGCTCGTAGTTTACTGTGTGAGGATGCCCCACCTGCAACAGGACTTGAGATCTAGAGATCAGGGACGAGTCTAAGCAGAAAAGGAAAAAGTAGGAAGAGCAGAGAATCGGTGACCATGAAAGCCGTGACAGTGAACAAAGTGACTGAAAGAGAAAACGAGACTGAAGGGAGAAAAGGAGCAAGGACGCTCCTATGTACTGATAGAGAAACAGCCGCAACAATAAAAAGTCATCCTGTACAAGACTATGCTGTAAATCAGGACCCCGCACTCTCATCAACTCCATTACCAGAGCTCACCACATTCATATTTCTGTGGAGAAAATCCTATGACCACGTACACAGTTACTGAGAAGACAAAATACCTTCCCGCTTGTCGCTCAACACTGAGAAGCCAGGCAAGTCTCCATGGATACAGATCAGTGGATGTGTGTCAATCATGTGTGGAAGGCAGTGGCACATGGATGGAGACATTGTCACCCCCAAGGACGCACCATCCCAGGTAAGGCTGCACTAATTGTGTCAGGGAACACAACCAAGGAGCCAAAAAGCATGGGAGCTATCACACCTGCAGAGCCAGACTCACGTGAAAACTGTATGTCTATTTTGTGCTGTTCTCTCTCAACAAGATTACAGAAAGGTAAATTCTATGCAACATGCAGTTCCAAGACAAAGGAAACACCCTGAAAAGCCTTGTAACTGCAAATGAATTGACAAAGTCACCAAAACAGCAAATGTCAACCGCAACAGCAGCTGGGCTGGGAGACTGATGGGAAGGTGTGCAGAGGCTACATTGGCCATCATTAGGCCAGTGTAACTCATGATCACTGTGACATACATACTTAATGCCAATTAAGTAACATGACACTCATTAAGTCAAATCATGTTTAGCTCATGGACTTACAATTTCTTTTTTTTTAAAGATTTATTTTATTTATTTATGCATACAAGAGCTGGGGTGCAGGCCAGAGGTGTACGTGGAGGGGGGACAAGAGGATTCACCAGAGACAGAGTGGGGACAGAACAGGCGTACTGACTGAAACACACTGCTGAGGGGAGCAGTGGGGAGACAGGAGAGGTCTGCTGCGCCATGTGGGTCAGCTCCCTAGCTGGGGATCAATGTCCTGCCGTAGTGGCTGCTGATAGTTTCATAGTGCTGAGACTTAACCCCTTGTGCCACCAGGGAGGCCCCAAGACTTATAATTTTAGATAAAACACGATAACTGAATGGCATATCTCAGTACTAGTCACTGCCTTTGATAAAGCACTACAGAAAATGATGAGCATGGGGGAAAGGGAACTAGGATTCCATAACCCCCTAAAAAACACCAAATCAAAAAAAAAAAAAAAACAAAAAACAAAAAACACCAAATCACTGGGCTTCCCTGATGCAGCTCAGGGGTTAAGTCTCAGTGCTATCAAGCTATCTGCAGCCACTGCAGCTTGAGTTTGATCCCAGCAAGGGAGCTGACCCACATATGGTGCACCAGACCTCTCCTGTCTCCCCCGCAGCTCCCCTCAGCAGTGGATTTCAATAGATCAGTCTGTTCTGTTCCCCACTCTCTCTGGTGAATCCTCTCATCCCCCGCACTTCTGGCCTAGACCCCAGTTCTTGTATGCATAAATAAGTAAAAAATAAATCTTTAAAAAAAAAAAAACACCAAATCACTGCCAACACTTGCTGGCACTATTATACCGGAAATCACTGTACTTCTGCTCCATTGTGTCGTGACCTAACAGTGCTATAAAAATAAGTTAGATTTACTTTTTTAAAGATTTATTTTTATTTATTTATGCATACAAGAACTGGGGTGTAGGCCAGAGGTGCGGGGGGTGAGAGGATTTACAGAGACAGAGTGGGGAGCAGAAAAGACAGATCTACTGAGGGGAGCAGCAGGCGAGACAGGAGAGGTCTGCTGTGCCAGCGCCATGTGGGTTAGCTCCCTAGCTCCCTGGCAGCAGATCTAACTCATGCCGCAGTGGCTGGCAATAGCTTGATAGGGCTGAGACTTTAACCCCTGCACCACCAAGGAGGCCCAAAATAAGTTCTATTTTAAAAAACTGGAAGGGTTTTTAATAGAACTCCCTACAGACGGTATACAAGTAGCCCACGAGCACATTTCAAAAACTGGCAAATCAAAAGCACAGCGAGGATGACTATTAGGGGAAAAAAAAAAATCAGAGTAGGACAGATGTCAGCGAGGATACAGAGATATTGAACATCTGTGCACTGTTAATGGGAACACAAAATGGTGCAGCCAGAAAAGGTAGCAATGTGGTGATTCTGGAGAAAACTAAACAAAGAGTTACAATGTGATCCAAGAAGTATACTTCTTTGTATACAACCCAAACTTAAACTGTTAGCTTATCTATCCTCTGTGTATATTACGATATATCTCACTATGCACAAATATTTACAGCACCATTTTTCATTAGAGTCAAAGGTAGAATCCACCCAGGCACCAGCCACATGTTCATGAATGCATGTGCTATGACTATGTAATGGGGCATTATTGAGTCTTAAGAAGGAAATAAATTCTGCCACTTGCTAAAAGATGGAAGAATCCTGAAGATACTAAACTAAGTGAAATAAATTAGCCATAAGAAAACAAAAAAAAATGGCCTCCCTGGTGGCACAGGGGTTAAGTCTTAGTGCTATCAAGCTATCAGCAGCCACTGCAGCATGAGTTAGATCCCTGGCCAGGGAGCTGACCCACATAGCCCAGCAGACCTCTCCTGTTGCCCTGCTGCTCCTCTCAGCAGTGGATTTCAGTCAGTCTGCCTGTTCTGCTCCCCACTCTGTCTCTGGTGAATCCTCTCACCTCCACACCTTTTTTTGGCCTATAATCCAGTTCTTGCATACATAAATAAATACATCTTTTTTTTTTTTTTTAAAAAAAAAGGACATACACGATTTACTTATTGGAAGACACTAACCATTATCCAGAGCCCAAGAAGCTTTCTAGAGCTCAAGGTCAAGGGCACTAGGTTCTGAATAAACCTGGATAAGTGCATTTGGAGTAGAGGCATTTACACGGCAGAAAGGGTCTGCGAAGAGACTCCCAAGAAAACCCACAAATACTAGTGACACAATAAGACCAGCTTCACACCCACTTCCCGACAATTTCTGGTATATCACCAGTCATTAACACGCTCTCACAGACGCCCAACTGTTCCTGGCAGAACAGGACTCATGCAGACACAGACCTCCAGCTCCCCCATCTGCACAGCCCCCGCCCGCCTGGCTTCCCTTGCCTTCTGGGATTCTCAGCATTGGACTCACAATCTCCATCACCTGGCTCTAGAAGCTTCTGAAAGCAGACTCCGGCCTAGTAACGCCCATCTTCTGAGGACGCATCAGCGACCACAGAGTGGTCCTTCCCCTGCCCTGCCCTGGGGCCTCAATATTCCAACCACCTCCCCACCCGCCCCGGTGCAGGGCTCAGAGCCGCACTCGGGGCCAGCATCCCAACACCCACCCGGCTTCCCGCTCACAGCCCGCCCGACGCCCCCAATTGTTCGGGACCCCCTTTGGCCCCCCGGACTGCTCTGGGGACCCCGCATCCAAGACTCCGAAGCACTTCCGCCCCCTCCCCCACCGTGCCCGAGCATCCGGGCTCCCCCTTCACCCCCTCACAGGCAGTCGGGTCCCTCACCCACCTTCCCGCTCCCTCGCGCCCGTTTCTGAGCGCCCCGGGGCCACTCCCTCTCACCCGCCCCCCCGCACCTTCGGGACACGGACCACACGGCGGCGGAGCAGCGGCCGCGGCGACTGAGCAGCGCGGAGGGTGCGCGAACAGTGCGGAGGAGCAGGGCTGCGCCTGCGCAGAGGGAACCCAGAGGAGGCTTCCCAGAACCCCTTGCGGGAGCCGCCCGCGGCGCGGACTACATTCCCCAGAAGCCTCCGCGCCGCCTGCCCGGAGCCTGAGAGGACGTTCAGTTTACTCGGGGTGAAGAGCTTTGTTGTCCAGAAAGCTGACGTGATGGGGGGAGGGAGGCAGGTGGGCGGACCCGTCGGGGAGGGAAGGTGAGGGGCGGCGCGGACCGCCCGGGAACGCTCTCTTTGTTGCCGGAGGAGGCTAGTGAGGCGGCCTCCCTCCCCCTCCCGAGCGCCGCGGGGCCTCCGTCTGCCGAGCAGCGCGAGCGGCGCCCACGGCCCCTGCGCGGCGGCCTGGAGAGCTCGGCCGAGCGCCGCCCTCACCCGCGCGGCCCGGTCTGAATGAGGAGTGAATGGGGGCCCGCTGGCGTCCACCCTCGGGCCCCTCGGCCCGGCGAGGGACCAGCCCCTGTGGGGAGGGAGGGAAGACGAGGGCGCGATCCTAACTGGCGAATTAGCATCAGCCCCACCCCAGCGTCGCCTCGGGGAAGTAGTGCGCTGGGGAAAAGTGAGTTCTTATCACAGGCCAAGTGCCAAAGTTGCAAGACGCCGGGGGGCGCAGGGGTTAAAGTCTCAGCTCTATCAAGCTATGGGCAGCCACTGCGGCCTGTGGTCCATCCTTGGCCAGGGAGCTGACCCACATGGCGCAGCAGACCTCCCCTGTCTCCCCGCTGCTCACCTCAGCAGATTTCAGTGGATTGGCCTGTTTTGCTCCCCACTTTGGTGAATACTGCCCCTCCTTCTAGCCGACACCCCAGTTCTTGTATTAAATAAAAATACATCTTTTTTAAAAAAAATGTGGCCTCCCTGGTAGTGCAGGGGTTAAAGTCTCAGCACTATGAAGCTATCTGCAGCCACTGCAGCCTAAGTTTCATGCCAGGGAGCTGACCCACATGGCTCAGCAGACCTCTTCTGTCTCCCTGCTGCTCCCCTCAGCAGTGTATTTCAGTTTGCCTGTTCTGCGCCAGGCTCTGTCTCTAGTGAATCCTCACACTCCCTCCACCCCCACCCCCACCTCTGCACCTCTGGCCTACACCCCTGATCTGGTATGCATAATCTTTAAAAAAAAATTCTTGATGAGGGAGATTTGTTTTATCACAGGCCAAGTGCCAAAGTTGACGAGGGAGAAGACAGAGGAGCCCTGGAGAGGAGGGAAGGTGAAGGTTGGGGAAGATGAGTCTAGTGGACTAGAATAGTTGCAACTGAGGCTATAGGACTTAGGGGGCATGACAGGATTTCTGAGACTCCATTAATTTCATGAACGCTTTGTGACTACTGAGGTACTAATTGCTGAGATGAGAGAAGCTGAACTCCTCTGTTTCTTGAAAGGCCTGAGTCTGAATTACTCTCAGATTCTGATCTATGGTAAATGGACTTTAATCCCTGTACAAATAATCTGCTTTTGAAGAGCTCTTGTCTCAGCTGGTCTGTTTGCCCACTTTCCTTAGTGAGTTTAGACACACCCATTCTCACTCCAGGCACACATCCCCACCTCTGTTAGCTCCAAGGAGCAGCCGAGATGCTCAGGTCCCAGCTGAAGGCCCCAACCAGCAGGAGGAGGGGACTGACCTGGAAGCTGTGAGCCCTGTAGTCAGGGGCCAGGAAGCGACTTCTGATGGGACCTGGTGCTAGAGATCAAGGAGTCTGCTGAGCAGTCAGCATCAGAGGAAGTTCTTCTGGGATGGACATTCCCACAGGGGAATAGTGAAGGCCAAGGCCCAGAGGGTGGTCATGGGGTAGGAAGGAGCAGGTCCAGGTTGGCTGTGGGCAGTGGGGTGTCTGCAGATTTCTGCCTCAGACTCTGACCTCCTTTAACCAATTCCAAGACCTTCAGGTGAATGAGGGGAAAGACCAAGAACTACTCACCCACAGGGCCAGGCGTCCTAGGCAAACAGGGCTGACATGGCCCTGGAGCTTATCCATGGGTATTGTGAAAGGAAGGTAATATTGTGATACACTGAATCAGATTGGCTGGTGGTGTGGAGGTGGAGGGGTCCGACCCAAGAACCCCAGCCCCTGACTGTGCATACATATAGCTGTGGCTAAAATTTTCCTCTTCTCAGCCAAAGGTCACCCAAGAACTGCTTCCCTAAACTGTCAATGACCTGCTCACCTCTAGGAGCTGAGATGCTGTTCTCGGCCCCCAGAGGCATTCAAGACTGAGAACCTTTCCTGATTGGCCCAGGGATTCGGAGAATATATGTTATGGGCCTCCCTGGTGGGGTTAAGTCTCAGCATTAGTTTTCATTGCTGTTTACTCTAACTTTCTATTGCAGAGAGTAGCTAAATGTTCAAGTTTACTTTTTTATTTATACATAGAAGGACTGGGGTGCAGGCCAGAGGTGCAGTGGTGATAGAGCCACCACTGCACCAATGGTGCAGAAGTACACCAGAGACAGAGTGGGGAGCAGAACAGGTGAATCTACTGAAATCCACTGCTGAGGGAAGCAGTGGGGAGACAGGAGAGGTCTGCTGCGCCATGTGGGTCAGCTCCTTGGCCGGGGATTGAACTCAGGCCATAGTAGTGATAGCACTGAGACTTACCCCACA